GAATTGATATGCTAATTGAAATTACTTCACATACAATTTGGGCTTTTTATTATTGTATATAGGTAGTAGATGCTTTGTAGTAGCAAAAATTGGATATGGTGGAGAATATCATTCCAATATGTTATGTTGCTTCACCTACTCCTAGGTAAAAACCTACAAGATGCATATAATACATATTAATTTGTACATCTTCTAAGCTTTGTCATTCTGGTATTTTTTCATTTGAAAGTTCAATGCATATATATGTAACATTTTCTATCATCTTGATATTTATTTTGTATTTTGATGTCTTTAGGAATCCTTAAGTAGTGCAAACTTTGATCCAATGTAGACTTCCTTTAGCGTCAAGATGGTCCTCATGAAGTATATAAAGGTAAGTGAATGGATGATTGTAATTGATTTGGAAAGCTATCTATTCCTATTATTTTTTTATTAAAGATTGTATATTCTAATTGGTCAAGGCTTAGTGCTTAATAAAATAATTTCCATAATTCTATAATAAATTAGTTCTATTATGGCTCACATTGCAGAAAATACATATATTACTAAGTCTACACATTTGTTGCATAGACTTAGAATCTTCATAAAAAGTCCATAGTGGTGTATATTTATGACATTACATACATGCATGGATAATGAGCAATCTCATAGTTATTGCTACATTTGTATTATTTATTTTTTTTTTCTAACTATAGGCAATTCATCTCTTCTTCTTTATTATCATACTCATTCATTGATCGTCTATTTTGTTTAATCAAACTTCATATATTGCACAATCTTTGCACTATACTCAAGATGGCACTCATTGCTTTATTAATGTTGTTGATTCTTGTTGCAACATTACTTTGTATTCATGTCAATTCTTTCATTTTAGTCTCTTATTATTTATTAATAGTTATTTTTGATATGATTAAATCTTATTTTTATATTTCATAATTTTTATATAAATATTTTAAATAAAACTATTAATTTTACATATTATATTTCATAATTTTTATATTAATACATTATTCTCAAGTACAAATTGAGTATAATTTTGCCTTTAATAGGCTAATTTTGGATACTTTATATTAAAATATATATATCAAAAGTAACTATATTTATTTGATTTTACAAATCATAGAAGATTTTACATGATGCATCTTGATTTTGTAAAGTTGTTATATGATATTTATTGTTGTGCTTAGAATTTTGTGTTCCTATGTACTATCTAATAAGAATTCTAGTAATGAACTTCTTGTGGGATTGTCTTTTAAAACTTATCTACTATCTGAGATGTTGTGTGCTATTGCTTAAAGCTTTGAATTGAAGAGATTTTTGATGTCATGTTGAATTAGAATTTGTTCTCAGTTTTCATATTTTACTAGGATATCTTCTGAGTATGTTGAACAAACTTTAGAGATAACTCATTTGATTCAAGTAGTTGACAAAAATCTAAAAAAAATTATATAATTGCATGAAATGGAGAAGTGACTTGTGATAGAAAATCATGTTTGCAATGTGCATTGCATTTTGACACGCATTATGTACACTCTTTTCATATATATTTTTTTCATTAACAAAATAATTTGAATAAATTATAATCAAAATTTTTTAAAAAATATATTAACTTCTATTTTTATATTAATAATCTTTAATAGATTATAACTATAAATTGGAGTATATTACTAGTCAATAATTGTGAAAAAAAAGTCACTCTTGTAAGATATATGCAAACATTATGGCCAATACATTTACAATTTTTGCAAAGACATGTTATTGTTACTTCAAAAATTTCAAATTGTGAAGAACATTGTATAGATATCTCAACATCTACCTCACTTCTCAATATGTTCCTAGTTCCATGCAGCTTTTCTTTTGGACAACTTATTCTCAAGTTTTTCAATCCCACAGTAACTATTGTAAATTCCAACAATTGATTATATAATTTTTCTTATTGGTAGAAAGGTAGTAGATCAATTGTACCACTAACATCATAATAGACCAGACAAAAAGCTTTAGAAGAAAGTTCAATTTGTGGTAGTATAGCAACTAATAATTCAAAATTATTCACCAAATAATATTGATGATAAAAAATCAATAATTTCCAAAATGCCACCATTTCTTAGTAAACTTCAAATATAATGCTTACATAAAAGATCCAATGTACTTATCATTATTATCAATTGCTATTCATGTATATTTATATTGTTCAAAAATAAGATTAAGAACATATAGAGAAATATATTTTACAATGTTAATGAAGAAACCAATATTGTATTAATGACATATACAAATTTTTTCTAAATTCTCTTGAATCTTGATTTTTCTTTTTATATTTTCAAAAAACTGAGAAAAAAATTTAAACTTTTCTAAGGTCTTTGATAGAAACTTTTAAATATAATTTCAACGCTAAATGTTGACTTTCTACTCATGATATAGTAACACTTCTAAGATAAAAGAAGTTCTTTGTTCAAAATTTAACAAGTCGTTTCTTGTGTGATATCCACGTATTTTATAAATATACAATAGTTGCATGAATAATAATGGAGATGTACTAGTTACAAAGATTAGACCATTCAAGATTAAAAAGTTCTTCAAAATGAGCACTAAACACAATGGTCTAATATACAAGAAATGAAGGCCATCATGTTTCCACCTTATTTGAAAAATACTTCTTATGATTAGCTAACATACTTTTTTGAAGATGCAAAATGCAGAGTAAGACATTTGAAGTGAAAAATATTAGTTCAATAGCATTTATTAATGCCAAATCCTTATTGGTACCATTGCATATGGATCAAATACCTCTATACAATTTCAGAAATTTGGTTAATGCCCAAAAAAAGAAAGATTATATTTTTTCTTGGAAAAAAGCAACAATAATGAAAAAAGAAGTATTAAGAGTTGTCATTCCCACAATATGCAACATAGTCATTCTAAACCTATTTGTTTTGTATGTACAATCGATAACAATAAATAAAGTATATCTTTTTGCAAGTCTAAGGCACTCAAAATATATAAAATACAAAGAAGTTACTTTATTGTTTTCATCACATTAATAAATAAAATGATATTTAGTAACATATACAGTTTTCATAAGACAAACAAAAGGTGAATGACCAATAAGTGCAATATGACATAATCTCTGCCTCTCATTGTAAATAGTATAAGTAATAGCTTTGTTATTTGAATTGCTCTTTCATAAAGCAATGACAACATTTTTTGGTGGAACTCCTACAGCAAGCAATCATAATGTCATTTTTTTTTTTTTCTTCAATTGGTTGAAAATGCCAAGCCAATGAATGACTTGAAAGAAAAGAAAAAGGTCCATGATTATAAAAATCTTTCCAAACTTTCAAGTATTATTGTATACTATCCTACAAACAACGTGCATGCAACTCAAATGGACATCTAATCAATCAACTTGCACTATTTCATTGACAAATATGATTATTTTGCTCACAATAAATTCTTCCTCTATCACACTTGAAATCAATGCAATCCTTCTTAGAATAATATTTGCAAACAACATATCTTTGATTATATGCAAATGTATCTATACTATCTTTCATCTCTTCTATACTTTCAAAATATCCTTCTAGTAGTGCAACCATGTGTACCTCACTTTCTATTGCAAAATGCAAATAATTGTAGAGTATACAATTTCGTCTCTTTTATATATACTACACAATGTCAAAAATGTGAAACTATAGTATAGGGTTAATAAAAAGAAGATTGAATATATAAAGACTTCTAGATGTAACAAAGCAAGATAAATACAAATAGCCATTGATAACCATTGCCATTAGTCATACATTTGTGATTAAGTAAATTATATATGAAAAACCATGATTCTATTAATCAAAATGTAGATGATGGTTTTAATGATGAAGAAGATCTCAACAATTAATGTACCAATTTGTAATGATGGATAGATTGATTTAGTAAAAGATTGGGTCTATCAAATATTTCCCTATTTTAATCAATCTACATCTTGTGTAAGTTGAACACTACTAAAATCACTATGCTAGCAAAACCACATAGGATTTTTTAGATTGAAGATTAAAATTACAATAAAAATATAATAATAATAATAATAATAATAGAATATTCTTATCAATATTGGCATTTTAACTTATTAAACACACATACAAAACACTAGTAACAATTCTATTGAGATTATATCATTCTTTATAATTAGATATTTGTTTGATCATAATTGTCTTATTTCAAATTTTGAATCATTTAGCTTGTTTTTTACAAACATTTTAATTTCTAACAAAATGACTATTTCAAGAAACAAAAAGACTTGCAATCTACAAAATAAATCACAATTTTCAAAAATAATTGACAAAAATAAGAATAATTTTAGTCTTGCTTGTGTATGTATTTATGAAGTCTAAAATCCAACTTATCCTTCAAACTTAGATTTGATATTTATATTTATATTTATTTGAGCTGATTGTTATACATAACAATTGAAATTTTCGATATTGTATGGACTTTAATATTTTAAATACACTGAAAATTACATTAAAGATTAGTTACACAAATCTAAATGCTAAAGAAACCCCAAATTTTAAGATATCTTTCCAACCACTTAAGAAATTGACCATTATACATGCTATTTTGACATATCTTCTTTCATCTACTTTCATTAACTCCTTGACCAAAATTGTGCAAAAATGAACATTTTAACTTGCAGACCTCCATAAAAGATTAGAGGCAACAAACGAAACCAAGGAATTCCTACCATAGTGATGCTCCACGTTGCAAAAATATTTAAAGATGGAGCATTTTGCGCTCTGCAATACAGCCACATCCCAAATTCTCTACAGGAAAACAAATTTCCTCCTCGTCCCCCAACAGTGCTCCCAATAGGTGCAGCTTTCTCTGAAGAAAATCCTTCCATGCCATCTTCACTGTTTGCCACCCCTAACGATGAAAACTAGAGGAAATAACATGAGAAATATTTTGGGTTAGCTTGGGTGCACATTCGAATCTGAACCATGCAACTCTGAAACTTGAACACTCAGTCTTGCCTTTTGAACAAAAAAAACAAAAATACAAAACAAACTGAAAGCACAAGAGCTTTCAATTTATGTTCTGATTATTACTCACGCTGTTGCTTACCCCCTCCTCACGCTGGTGATGATAACTATCTGTCGGACCTAGACCAGGTTTAGCAGCTCTTGCTGAGCTATAACTAGTGTCAAAAACCATACAACGACCATTGTGGTCCATTCCTACTGTGCAGATAGACTACAAAAGCCGTGGTGCTATTCTACTTTCCACATCACACGACCCAGCCTAACATCAATCACAACATGCCCTTTTGTGCTGCCAACACTCGGTGGCTTTGTTTCATCAGCCTGGACATCTTCTGGTGCCTCACCCTTTTCTTTAACCACTGTCCGAGCACTATCCACTTTCATCAAGTCTAAAAGCGGTCGAGGGCCTTTCCACATCTTGCTGGCCCATTTCTGTATCTTATCTGCTTCCTCATCACGATTAGGGAATTTGTGGATGATTTCTGCATAGCGAGCTGTGGTTCAACAAAGAAGAATAGTCAACAAGAATGAACAGTATTTAATACCATGTTCATATATTAGATTCGGAGCCTGATAAAACTGAGATATTTTTCTGCTATGGAATGAAACATTTCATAGTGTAAGTTCATGTCGTCCTTTCTAAAAGATAATTTGCAATGACTGGGTAAATCAACAAATCAGCTGTACCTCTTGAAAGACACATTACATCAACAAGATCCACAATTTTTCCTGTATCTGTACACACTCCATAAAATGCAGTAATAAGAAAATGTGTACGCATGCAGAAACGAGAATTGCGATCCGATGAAAATCTGCTCAATAATATCGCAGTTTGTAGCACACACCTGGCACATCTATGGATGGACTCCTTAAATAATCCTGACATCGTCGATATAGACCCTGTACAACAAACGTTCGATCCAAAAACCGTGAGACCAAACAGTAAAGGAGTAAATTTAAGCATTCAACTGCAAAAGAACGCAGGAGAAAGGAAAGAAAATAGAAAATTGATAGCAGATAACATCAGTCACAAGATTTCTCACTAACCTCTGCAATAATGAAACTATCGCCACTTCCCATGACTTTTCCTCTGCGTGCATACACATCCGCAAGACATGCCAAGATAATTCCTACCCGTGGATGTTTGTCACCTGCCATAAGACGAGTTGCAAAATTGCATCGTTATGGAAAGTTGGCGGCTGCATATTTTATCCTCTTTCTCCCAGCCAGAATGTACAATATATCTCACCATTAATCTTTTCTGCTTGAGTAAGTGCCTCAGTGATTTTACTCTCTGCTTCGTCGAAATCTCTGAATGCACACAAGCGAACGTCACTGAAATGGTGTAACCGTCAAATTTGTGTACAAGTATATAATGTGAAACCAAACATTTATTTAACAAGACCTGACCAGACAGCACAGTTACAACCTGGAAAGGAATTGTGAAGCTTCGAATTTCATATGCGTAGTTAGTTATTAATTATCTTTTGAGTTACTGTTCTTGAGATTGAAATAGGAATAAGGAATTCATACCCCACGTGACAGGCAAGTTGGCCTAATCCTGCCAGAGCTCCAACCTGAACTTCTTCCGGGGTCATAGCACATGAAGCCAGAGTCACCTTGCTTGAACTTTCCTTCGAGTTTTGAAGTATTGAAATAGTTCTTCTATATAGGTCGCCAGCAATTTTCAAGTAGCCCCCAATATGAGCACACTGAGCTACACTAAGCATTCCTACAGCTGAAATAAAAAATCCAAAGTCAGATTCCTTGGCTAATCATACGACTGCGAAGTAAAGAGGTTTCCAATCTCGTGTTATAAAAGAAACTTTGCAAAACGATGAAATCCATTCCTGCTAGAAACATATGTCATGTCCAGATCCAGGTTGTCCCCAATAATTGAACACATATTGAATGGACGTTGCATGAATCAGGTTGATAGCCTGCCCAATTAGCAACATGGCCGCTGAGTACAGATGGTGCCCCTAAGAGCACTATTAGTTTATTCCAAATTATTATACAATGCTCTACCTTTCTCATACTTAAACTAGAGCCATAAGAATAGATGCATCATCAATAATCACTAGATGGTTCGAAATCATGGGAAGAAAAATAACATCATAAAGACTCACCAACCCCAGCTGCACGGTGACAGTCTTCTTCAAGCCTTTTAGGAACATCTTCAAATAGTTGTGTATCAGCTGGCATACGCACATACACTAAAATGTAAGAGACCTGGTCGTATTGGCTACTTACTATGGCATCCTACACCAACGACAAGAATGGTTCATCTTTATGCTGAGTATTGTAACAAATTTCCGCCATGACCAACTTAACTCAATACGCGATCCTCAAAAAAGATGAAATTCAGAACCATACCAGCTCCATGCCGTGCACAGACCGATGCAGGTAAAAGAGCAACTGCTTTGCTTCGAAACTGGAGCTCCACAAGCTCTTCTTTTGGCACTGAATCGCCTGCAGCCATTACAAGTTGGCCACAACTGTGTGCATACTTGAGAGCTGACCCTTCCTGGAACAATTCAAGTATAAATAGAGTTATCTTTATTAATTTAGGCACTATCATTTGCAGCACTAGAAAATAATTGGATGTAATATATTGATGTCTACACACAATCAGAATTGCTAACAAAAAAAATTCAGTACAAACGGTGGCTTCAGGTTACTTCGTGTAAGCGTAAGCAAAGTCCAGCTAAGGCTTCCAAGGCAGCCACTGTAATTGCACAAACAACACGATAAGTCCACTTTAGCAAGAAAGTGTTTCAACCATCTGTACATTAAGAAAAGAACGATTCACTAATATAATCAGCAAAGAACACCAAAGCTTGCTCACCTCGAAGCCCTAAGCCAGCTGACTTAAGGTCACTAGCTACTTGTAAAGCTTCCACAGCATCAGTACATTCTCCTCTGCGTTTGTTTAAACAAATACAATGACCATGTCACAATGGATAAAGTTTCACAATTTGTTCAAAATAATTGTATCGAACGCCGACTTGCATTCATACCCACAAACGAATTTGGAAATTACTTGGCACGAAATGCACCTGTCACAGTGGAAAGTAGCTAGGGTAAGAAGCACACGGCCAGCTGCAGGGGCAGCTGATGATCCTTCGTTAAGAAGAAAAGTTCTTCCCTGTTCCAACACGCGGATAGCCTCCACATGGGCTGATTCTGCAATCCGCATTAAATATGTATTTTTCTCTCAACCTATCCACCCATTGATATAGAAACATAATACGAGAATTGAAAAGCTATTAGGGCGCGGAAGCTTACCATTACTCCTACAAGAGGCTGCATACTTAATCATCTCCGTTGCAATAGAATCAGCGTCGGGCTTTGCTTTCTCGCTGTCGTTCCTGGCATACCATCGCTGTTGCCCATTGTGTTTAACTTTGGGATCAACAAAATCTACTTCTATTCGTTGCACTTGCCAAGCACTCTGTGGGCAGATCTTCCGCACATTCTCTGCTGCGTGGCACAGTCCCGCGCTTTTCACACTCGATTGCAGCGATAGAGGTGCGACACGAACTCCAGCTAAAATCGACCCGAGACCCACCAGCCGGTGGAAACATTCCTTGGTTAACCTCCGGGAGGAGCTCCCAGCAGCCATAGCCGCTCAAGCTCTGCTCTGATTCCTGGAGCCGAATAGACCTCGCCTCCTACAAAAATGAATGCTCCTTCGCTGACTAGATGTCAGTTCACTCCTAAATTCCTCTCAAATCCCTGCATACAGCGACCGGGATGAGATACAATCACCCCTGATAACCATACAACTGACTCTCTGAAGCCTACTATGGGTCTGGGTCAGTGACGATTCCACACCAACTCTGAGAGATTGACAAGTCAAAAAACGGCAAATGGATTACTTTCTTCCCAATTCAACATTTCCAACTAACGAATAGAGACAGAGTAGGTGGCGCCGACAAGAGATACTACAACCAAATTGTTCCACAAAAAATCGTGTGAATTACTTCTAATACTTCTGCACATGTAACACTCACATGCAGTGTGCAGTCCACTAAGCGAGAAATTATTCATGCAACACAGATGTTAGACAATTCATTTATTCTCCAGGAGACAATTCTAAAAGCTATAATGCTTCAGCATGGTAAGCAGTCAATGAAAATCCAGCGCGACAGTATCGTGTCACATGCGATTTCAACATCATAAAACAAACATAAGCGCCACGAAAACGATTGTCACTCTGAAGCCTCCGAGACAGAGAGACAGAGCCCCAACAAAGAAATTATCAACAAAGGTTCAGGTCGCCCATGGAATGACAAGAAATCAGAGATTGTTCTCAAGAGGGCTTAAGTAGGCACCATTTCTTCCCGACGCAGGAAACGTGGCGAGATGCATCAGCACTGCGCGCATGGCGAGCAACACCAGAGGTCAAGCCAGCAACCCGTGACTTGTGGGGCCAAAAGCTGATGTATATCCAGGGGTTAGCATCGGACAAGTAAGTTGCACTATTGATATTTGCTCTCTGCAGGACATTTCCTGAAAAAGGTCAAGCGCGAGCACCGCTTATTGATATCCGGAATTGGCCGTAACTCACCAGTTGATTGCCTTCTCTAACTTCATACTTCGGAGAGGTCCTGCACTGTACCGCGTTCACATTTCGCGAATCGCTGTCGCGGTGGATTGTAAGGTATGCGTATCGCAATTTCAGAGTGAATATGCTGCAGTGTAAGCAGGGAATTCTGTCAGAACGTATCAACGAACCTTGCCATTTTCTTTTCTTTTCTTTTCTTGTCTTTTATTTTTATTGATTCTTCAATGACCGGGGACACTTATTCGGAGTAGAGGTGGTCTTCTCACAGTTATCACAAGGCTTGGGGCATGAAATGTGACTTTCTCAATCTTTACATCAAATTTCGAGGTTCAGAAGGTTTTAATTGGTTTTCCTTTCTCAAGGACTTCAAGGATCACTGAGAGCTAGCTCTGTTTTCACCATCATTTGTAGGGTCCTTTCACGTGATTTTCAGAGAACTTTTGGGGTAGGCAGTGAAACTGGGATAGATATATCATCAAACCCTGAGCGTTGTTGATTTATTTCGGAAAATTAGAGGGCGATATGGGTAGCTTGTTACTTGAGTGAGGACAATCGTTTGGTGAGCAGCAACAGCCTGTGTAATTGAGCAATGGTTGTCAGTGGATAGGATAATTTGCACAACGGGTGGTCGCAATTTTTGCATACAGTCTGTCTGCAATAGTTGATTTCGGAAGCTTGCAAGGACTTCATTAAAGCTCTGTCGCATGAAATCGCGTCGTGTTGTTGTTAGGGTATAAGTTTGAGGTCACTTGTGCGCAATTTGTAGTTTTTTTTTTCTTTTTTTTTTCTTTTATCTTTTGAAATATTTTAAAACGCTTCTGAGCAGCGTAAGTATGTTGGACGATAGCTGAGAAGTGGGTGTTGTACATTATGCAGAATTGGGAATTTGGAGACCATCTAAGATGAGTACACGGGATATCGAGGGCGAGTGGCGAGCAGCCTCCTACTTCTTAGCGAAGGGTCCTTCAGCAACGTTGCAGTATTTGCAAAAGGATGTGCGGTCCAATTTGTTCGCATTGAAGGCCCAAGCCTTGGACGGGGATTGTCCTCCTGGTCAAGACGGATCGATGGCTATGGATCCCTCGCTCAGAATTAGACAGGTCTGTTGTGGAACGCCCGTCGCCATGTCTAAGCTACAAATCTCTATGCTGAATATATTTGGCTTCTTGATTACGAACCCGTTTGAAACCTATTGCAAGTGACGACTTCTCCCGTGACAGGAAGCGTGGAATGCCCTGAAGGGGATGTCGAGGGAGCAAGCCAAGCGGAATTTCGTCGATTTACTCACAGAGGTGCTCCCTGAGTGGAAGAAGTGGAGCGCAGATTACGCATCTAAGACAAACAGTGGAGAAGAACACGAGAGTGAGGCTGATAAGCTCGTGAAAGCTTTCAAACTAAGGATGGGCATATCCTCTAGTACCTCAATCCAATTGTCGAGGCTGTAGTTAGACAACTGTAAATGTTGGGGTGGGTAGACATCATCAGTCTACCACAATGGTAAGCTAGATCGCGAACATATTACTCGAATTCGCTGCGCAAATTATCCAAAGCTTCTTAGTAATCTGAAGAGTTGCGTGGTCACACCAGTGAATCAAAAGAACGTGTCTTTGCATTCATGATATGAGTTACTGTTCCTCATAATATGTGTCGTATTGTTTTGTCGGTTCAAAAGATTGCTGGATAAGAGTTGCGCTGAGCTTTAATTTCACCTTCTGTTGAAAACTTGATGATGTCCAAGCGAAGTAGACGTGCTTGTGGATTGAGCTCTTTCACAAATTTGACCAAAATTTGTGCACATAGTAATGGTAATGAGAAACTTCGAGGATGCAACGAAAGAGAAGTCTAGTAAGCCATCTCTTTGAAGTCCGTTATCTTTCAGAAACTGTTCCCCACCTTTATGCAGGTGCACCGTAGGCAAAATCTCTAAATTCTCGTACTCGACAATCCATGGTTGGCTCTTGTACTCGATAACAACAAACTCTAGCTGGTCACCTACTTCATGAGCATGCAACCGTGGGAAGGGTTGGCTCCTGCATCTGGATTACAAAACTCGTTCCAGAAACTGCTCAAACTCGGAAAACATCTCGAGCAACCATTCACAAATTGGCAGATAGAGACTATTGCGAGGGCCTTTTGGAAACACAACTACTTCTCGAGATATATTCACCGATTCTAATGTGAGAAATTATTTTTCGTGCATGGGCAGAAGGTGCTGGATGAGGTGAACTCAACGACGCACGCCGCTTCGCTCTTTTACTGTTGTGAGATGCTAGATTCGGTGAAGCACTCAGAATGTGCCTTCTTGAGATTTTTACAACATACCACATCATCAATTGTCATGTTAAACGCAAACTGGGGTACCCCATTGAGGATGAGTCCTGTCACTATGTCCAGACACTTCACACTCGCCCTCCTTTCCTCCCGTCTGATTGGGGTTGCTAACTGCCTGCAGAATAACGCCATGTGCTCATTTCCACCCACATATGCTCTGGTCAAGTTGATGGTGTGTGGTGATGCTCTCCAACACTGTTACGTCCTGGCTTGTCCAGACACATTAGCACCCTCGTCATGCTCAGAAACCAGAAGCAGGCATTAGTCTTTGCTTTGTTAAACCTCTTCACAGCACAAACTCGGAAAATGCTGTCGTGCCTTCAACCCTCACACTCTTAAATACAACAGTTAGTTGTGCACACAAAATGGACAGTTGAGCTGGACTTTTACATGCCAAGGATTGTAAAGGTTCTCAGGTTTGATTGTTCCAGTGTTGCTGAGCTTCTGTTGCCCCATGAACCCAAGAGTTGTTGCATTTTTTCACACACATACTATTACTGAATTCAAGCATGGTGGGTATCCTCTTATTGTGCGTTTTTTTTCTTTTTCTGAGGGGCGAGTTATCCATCAGCTTCGGCTTGACTCAGAAAGCATGGAATGCTTAAGTGCGGTTGATTACATGTGAATTTACTTGTTCAATTGTGTGCTGTTGTGACTGTTTTGTGTGTCAAGTTTGGCAAGTTTCAACAAGTTGGGTGATTAGGAAAGTTTGCAAGCTTTGTGAAGACATGATGATGCTTGTTGATATAAAGGGAAGTAGATTATGTACCAACTTGCTTGGCTATACAAGTATACATTTGTTGATAACCTAGTCATTAGAATATTTTGTACGCTTGCATGAATACTCAAATGGTTTCATGTTTATAAATATACACACATATATATATATATATATATATATATATATGCAAAAAAAGAAGTCTAGTCATTGAAGATCACCGTCAATCAATTGTAGTTTTATAATTTATAACTTTATAAATCACTCTCAAAGAAAGCAGGTTTGTATTATAATACAGTTTTTTTATATATATAAAACAAAAAATTCACAATTGCAGTGTAACACCTTTAAAAAATTTAATGAAATTAAAAGAGAAAATAGGATCTTGGAATAATGCCTTTGATTCCTAGATCTTAGCAAGGATCGAACACGAGACCTCCCAATGATCGGGCTCACAATCGGTGCCGGTGATAGAATCATCCGCTGGCGGGAGTGCAACCAATAGGTTCACGTAAATAATTCCTGTTCCGCCAGGCAACTAAACTGCTCGGAAAGAGCCCTCCAAGGGCAGGAAACGCGAGCCATAGAACCATGAAACAGAGGTGATGGCCACGTCGGCATGCCGGGCCCGCTATTATAAGCCCAAATAGAACTCAACCCATTGAATAGGACAAACTGATTGGCTCTGAAAGGACTCTGAATTAAGGGTGGGGTGTGGAGTAATGGAGTGGTGGTAGCCCGCTGAAAGTCGGCGTCGGATCCGCCAATCTGCACCCTCCTGAAAACCTCCGGCTCCAGAGACGAAGCTCCCCAACACCCCAATTTCGGTAGAAGCGCTGGCCGACATGAGCGTGGATGGGCGCTAAGTCGGACTGCGAACCCTTGTCCTCGGGTTCTGCGCCATCGACGATCCCTCATCCAAGCCCAGCACACTGGATTGAATTGCCGGCACAACGGTATCGGGATGAAACTGCTGGAAGGATTCCGTGGCAAGACCCAGTTCCGGGTAGAAGCCGCACTGCTTCTTCCAATGTGAATCATGCGCCTATGTCTGCACCAGCACCATGTTCCTTGGAAAGAGTGGGCTTTGTGGATATAAAACCAGGGCTCAGTGCCGACCATCTACCCCCCAATCCAGTTTGTGTGCGCTTTGCTCTTGTGAGAGCCATTAATTTCCAACTCTGCAGTCGCCTGTCTTGCGGTGCAGGAGATCTTTGTTTGTGGAAGTTCGTGAGGTGAGGGTTTTGGTTGTGTGATGCGAAACGCGTTGAATGGTTGCATTGTGTGTGACCAGACACCGTGGCTATTGAAAATCAGCTTGTAAGTTTCTGTCCCTGATCCACTCCGATTGCCGTGAGTGGTTCGTTTCTGCGCGTTTTTGGAAGTTGTGGAAGTTGCGAGTGGAAGTCTGTGGATTGAAATCTGTTGGCTTCGTGCACCTGGTTAAGTTCTTAGGAGAAAGATACAGTGTATTATGAACGTGAAATGTCAGGAGTTTTGTCTTGTGAGGGATACGTATCATGAGTTTTAACAGAAATCGTGTCATTGATCAGTGCATCCGGCGATTAGTTATAGATTGTGAACTTCAGATATCTTGTTTACTTAAAGCGTGCTCGGTTTAGTTAAATTCCAGGTATAGGAGGTGCATGGAATGTACTCTAACGTGAATTTTCTACTGTTTACAGATCAACAGTGGCTGATCCTTTTCAACTATTGCGAGCGCATCATACAACTGCAGTGTTTCATCGCCTCAACATAAAAGTTTCATGCTACACGTAGTAATATTGAGGAGGGTCGGACCACAATTTGTGACGGATTTAAGGCTTATTTTCCTTTAAATGTGAACCCGCAAGAGATTACCTTCCCTAGTTTCCATGAGGTAGATCACGTCGCTCTGCAATCAGCACTTATATCGTTTATCAGCAGCACAAACTCAATCTCTCACGCACCGATGGCAAGGATGTTCAACAGCAGCGACAACTATGGGTACTCCTCAAGCGATTGTCCCTCTTCGAATTCACATCGTCGGACTTATATGTGCAAAGTTTGTGGGAACCATTTCAACTCGGGACAATCTCTGGGCGGTCACATGAATGTGCACCGAAACGATCGGAGGTCTCCAAGCAATTGTCAGTACAATCGTTCTAAAGGTTCTCCGACCTACTCCTCTCCGGGAGCGGGAAGCGGAGACGAGTGTTCGACACAGTTCAAAGGAGTGCGTTACCGTAAAGAGCAGAACAGGTGGGTGGCCGAAATAAGACCTCCACGATCGAGTAAAACTTGGTGGCTAGGCACTTATTCCACCCCTACAGAGGCAGCATATGCCTACGACGTGGCAATTAAGTATTTCGGAAGTGAAACGTCCCTCAATTTTGATGGTCACCCAGTTTACGACCAAATCCCTACAATCTCCACAACTATGCCAAAGGATTTCGCAATGCAGCTCAGAGAGGTGGTAAAAAAGTACGGCAAGTTGGCGATGCAGTCAGATGGAAGCGGCAGAGCGTCATTTTCGTTTGGCAATGCGTACAATCCTTATGAAACTTATCCGCCTCCATACACATGTGCAAGCAACGACGTCGATTCGGATGATGGTGAAGATGACGAAGAGGAGGAGGAGGAGGAGGAACAGGAGGAACAGGAGGAGATGGAAGAGGAGGTTGAACAGGAAGATGAAGGACAACCAGTACAGGAGGAAGAAAACTGGGAGAATTATGTTAATTTTCCTAGGAATCAGACCACCGAGCAATCTCTAGATGACCACGCTCCCATCGACAATGAGCAGACGCCAACATCCATATTCGATGCCGCTGATCTCAATGCATTCAATGGCGCCAGCTATCCACCCCAGCATTCTTCCTTCACGATGGATTACGATCTGAGTACATACAACTACTGCTTTTCACCTCCGCAGCACCCATTCTTATCTGATTATGATTACAACTGTGGTACCTATCAACCCCAAGCGCAATTTTGGTCACAAAGCTACCAGTACAGCAGCTACTAAAGTCTCAACTCTGGAGTCCCAAGGTTATGCCTGATCTGCTTGAGTTATCAGCGTAAGATGTAAGATAAGAAATCGTCCTGCCAGATTTAGTGACGCGAACATGTATTATAAGTGTCTCCGATGTTCTCCCTGTGCTGTGCTCAGGATGGCTAGCTGTGCAGGACCTGCTGTATCAAGTTACTAGAACGTCGAGGAGTCTTTCCGGAAACGTACCCATTGTGGTAGTCCACGACTAATTACACTGTCAACTTCGTGTTGTCCTTTTGGTCTTCAGATGTAAGTTTTTGTGAGGTTCATGGGCCGGTGGAATACTTTCATAGATAAGCCGTGGACTAGCTTAGCATGACTTGTAGTTACAATAGCCAGCATAGCTATGATATAACAAACTGGGTACTAGGTCAGGGTTGGACTAACTCCCTGGTAGTGTTGGGAAATCTGAGTTGTAAAAATGAGCAATGGATGTGCAATGCCAAGCGGAACTAAACTCTGTTGTTTAGTGCTTGGTACCTAAATTTTGTCCACATGGGTCGTTCTTGCCGCTGGAGTGAGCCTGCATATTTTCAAGCATAAAGCAATTTGTTACTGTACAGTACTACTGATTCAGTTGAATGGTGAAATGGGTTTGAAGGAACAGTGTTTGCATTTTGCAGTTATTGAGTCTATTCAGTCTTTTCGTTTGTAAACACTCAGTCCCTCAACTTCACATCTTCTTTGATTGAACTCTTCTTTGACTTGCGCATTGAAATAAACTACTCGAAGTGCATTCTGAAATTACAGAAGTTACATAAATTGAGATTTAATTTTTTAATTTTTAATTTTTTTTTCCTCGAATATTGTTAATTTGAAACCTATTCGCAATCAGTTTATGGTTTTCAAGGCATTTTTAGTCATATGGATTCATTTGAGGAAGAGCCTGTGCAAAAATTGAAGCTTTAATGCATTGTTGCGATCTGGTCATTTCTATGATTTTCTTGAAAAACTTCTGACAAGGTCCATTAAATTGAGACACACGAAATTTTTTATATTAATTAGAATAGTTTTGGAATTTTTAGATTAACAACCATAATATATGTATATATATATATATATATATATATATGTATATATATGAGGTTTTAAATATAATACAAAATTTAAGTAAAAAAATGCATATTTTCTATTGGAAGTAAAAAATAATAAATCCTATTTTGGTTCATCTTAATTACATTTTTGTCTTTTTTATACTATTTTTTTAATATTCTAAACATGCCTATAAAAACTATATTCAATATTTATCTTCCTTCATTATTATATTTTATTATACCAATGATATTTTTTAATAACTTATAATTTGTTTTCTTCAAATAGTTTTCAAATTTTAATTTTTCTTCTAAATATTTTTTTCATTAGATGCTTAAATTTAAAACCATAAATCTAATATCACATTTAAATTACTTATTCCTTTAAACATAATCTATTTAATGCAATTTGAAGAAATACGAGGTGAGTATTGTTAAAAACAATGTAAAGAATTATAGGTTATATGTAATTGTGTGTTAATGAATTCATTACCATATTAAAATCTAAAAATTAAGGTATAACATTCAAATCTATCAATTAAGATCCTCTACTAATCCACCTTTTGTAAATAGTTGAAAAATTAAAAATGTTGAATTATATTACACACTATTTGTTTAAATAGATGTAAGTTAGTAATATTGATGTAAATAAATTCCTAAACATTGAAAATTTTTGTAATAGACTATAGAAGATACAAAAAAATAATCTTAAGTCATAACTTTTATTTTAAAAAATACAAATAAATATAAAAAATTTATTAATGCAACATCCCTAATTAATATTGCTACACCTTAATTAATACATACCACAATTTTGGGGGTGTTAAGAGGATCAAGGAGGGCTCAGCTTCCTTTTCTAGTGGTCCTACTAATAAGCCAAGAAGCAAAGTCAAGAGCCTCCAAAATAGTTACTTTTTTGGACTTTATTTGTAAAACCCAATTTTGAATTAAAAAGGTGATAGAAAGTTGAGAACATTGATAGAAGGTTGAAAAAAACTATAGCATGGATAGCTTTTGGAATAGCAATGTCAAGAAGAGGAGGTGATAGAACATTGAGATCATTCTTGGAGGACCAAAGACAACTTCTATGAGAGTAAAAAATAAAACATCATTTTGCAAAAAACATGAAGGATGAGGGAAGCCTTGATCGTACATGCTTGTTAAGCCTAAGTACGCTTATAATTATAAAAGCTCATATAAAATGTTAATTATATTTTCTTTGCAAGTTTGTAATTGTATTAGAGTATAAGACACAACAAAGAAAATATCCAATTTAAAATCAAGTTTTACAAACAAAGTCCAAAATAAAATTCTTTTTGAAAGCTTTGCCCCTTAACATTACATGTAGATCAATCAACATGACCATTGCAAAGAAGCATTGTATACCCCTTCTTTCCCTTCTCTTGCAATTGTAGAAGATACTAATTAGGATGTAACAATATTAATTAAGTATGTAGCTTCAATAATTTCTTAAATATATTATCATATTTATTTATGATATTTTAGTACAAAATTAATTTTTTATTTAGTAACCATAAAAATATTTTATATATTATTAAATATATTTATAATTAGAATTATAGATGTGGTCATATTTATGGATTAAAAAATAAGAAAACATCGTAACTTGCCGAAATTGTGTTTACCTTTTAAAAATATTCTAAATCTTTTTTATGTTGTTAAAGTTTACTTTTTTTCTTTCTATTAATTGTACCATTTGCTTACTATCCACATATAATTTAGGTTGTGCTTTTAGCATTTATCAAAATATTTGTAGATTCATCTTTTTGTTAAGAGTAATTAAACGTTTTTTATTTCAAGGAAATCCATTTATATGTCAAAATATGAAATTTGTACAATCACATTGTGCACAAATAAAAAGAATCATCAACTCATTAGTAGCTATGTCTACTCATAAAACAACTTAAATAAAACTAGTTATCTATATTAGAAAGCATCAAAGCAATTTAAAAATTGAAAAAAATAATAATAAAAACAAATACACAATGCATTCTCTTTGTGAATTTCACATTGAAGAAGAAAAAATCTAATATAAGGAGATTAATTGGAAAATGTGACCTTTTATTTTTTGAAGAAAATATTTCAAATATTTTTTATTATTTATTATTTTTTAATTATCTATAATACATTCTCTAAAGTCATAAAAAATAATCAAAATTCACTATGATAGAATTATTCTCCATTAAATTTTCTTTTGTCCACCCATTATCCTTACCTAGTTGCACTCCCACAATTCTCTCATATTATTAAGTAATAAAAAACAACTTATGAACTTATATATCAAAGAAAAAATACCTTTCTGATATGATTTCACATGCTTACTACATCCTCACACTAGCATAATTGAATCCAATGCACATTAACAATTATCTCCCCAAAACAATGGAGACTTTGGGAGCATTCTAGAATAGGAAGACACGTGCGCAACAAAAAAAAAAACCGACAAGCTCACTCCTCATCGAAACCATCGCAATCCGCACTCAGCGCCACGCCGAGTGGAGGCGGGCATGGAGGTCGCCACTTCATTGCGGAGGAGGAGCAACCGTGAGGCTTCGTCTTCTTCATGTCTTGTAGATGAGTCTACTCTCTGTACACTACACCGCACTAGCGCGCAAAGCATAAGGATCCACCGCAAACAGCAGCAATATATTAAAAAAACCTATGCAACTCGAGGGTGAAGGGTTTGGTGACACGACAATGGGAACGTCAAATAGTGACAGGTTCCGATCTGGAATGGTAGTGCAGGGCGCCGTCAGGCTCGGGTTCAAGTTCGGTTGGGAAGCCATAGTAGGTACGAATGAGGCCAGGGGTAGGTTCGGAGACTAGGTTGGGAAGAGGTTCGGACGAGAGAGGGAGGAAGGGACCGAGAGGGGAAGCGAGAGAGAGAGCTCGGTGTCGCCATAGCCAGCCCAGTCCAGTGAAGCCAGCTGCAACGATGGCGTCCAGCGGGAAGAATACGCCTGACGGCAAAGCTGCGAAGGCGCCATCGAGCACAGCATCGGTAGCGCCTTCGTCGTCGTCTCTGAATGTGGAAAAATGGGATTCGTTGATGTCGTCTATCAAGAATTTCAAGCTCAAGACGAAGCAGCAGGAGCTTCTCATTCGCATCGCGGTACTGGTGCTGATTTACATTCTGGCCTTCGCGACGCGTTTGTTCAGCGTGTTGCGGTACGAGAGTGTCATCCACGAGTTTGATCCTTACTTTAACTACCGCACCACTCTGTATTTGACAGAGAAGGGTTTTTCGGAGTTTTGGAACTGGTTTGATTATGAGAGCTGGTATCCGCTGGGCCGCATTGTCGGCGGGACTTTGTACCCCGGGCTTATGGTTACGGCCGCGATCATCTACTGGACGTTGCGCTTTTTCAGTTTCGCGGTGCACATCAAGGATGTGTGCGTTCTCACGGCCCCCTTCTTTGCCTCTAACACAGCCATGGTGGCGTATTTCTTCGGCACCGAGCTCAGGGATCGGGGAACGGGGCTTGTGGCTGCCATATTGCTGGCCATTTGTCCTGGTTACATTTCTCGCTCTGTGGCGGGGTCGTATGATAACGAGGCAGTCGCAATTTTCGCTCTTGTGCTTACATTCTACCTATTTGTGAAGGCTGTGAATACGGGTTCGTTGGTTTGGTCTCTGTTCTCGGCCTTCGCATATTTCTACATGGTCTCTGCGTGGGGAGGCTATATTTTTATCATCAACCTTCTACCAATTTATGTATTGGTGCTGTTGGTTACTGGGCGATACTCAGTCCGGTTGTATATTGCTTACAACACAGTGTACATCATAGGCATGCTACTGGCTATGCAGATTAGGTTTGTTGGTTACCAGCATGTGCAGTCTGGGGAGCACATGGCAGCCATGGGAGTCTTCTTCCTTATGCAGGCAAGAATTTTATTCTATCTTCCATCTCCTTTAAGTGCTACATTCCTTTACTCATGCATCAGTTTCCACTTTTCTTTTCCTTTTTAAATCTTTTTTTTAGGTTCATATTATTTTCTGAGCGCTCTTCAATATAGATAGAGTTATTTGATAACAGTAAATGATCCACAGGCGAGCTCACAGTCGAGTTCATCAAAACCTACTAGTGTCTCTGTAAGTGCAAGCATAATGTCTTGCAGCCTTCACTCTGATCTGCAGTGTCCATATATCAGTGTCTTGAGTTCAGTGGTCCGGTCCTTTTTTGGTGCAGAAATCACATCATTTATAACTTTCCAGCTGATAACTGCCATGTCCCTTCTAGATCATGTTCAATTTGGATTGTCGGAGATCAAACCATCCCATTGAGCAAAAGCCAATGTCGAATTTGCACTTTGAAACATAGGTTTAGGTAGGGATGCCTTATTATTCCTGACGAAGTTTCTGAGTCAAATGTTAGCGCTCTGTTGCTTTTCGTGGTAGCAGTCTATTTAGTAAAACTTCCCTCAAGTAATGTAAATGCGGATCATTTGGAAGTTGGTAGTAAAGTAGGTCTGCTTTTTGGGCCTTTCGAATGGTTTTCTATTGTTAACCTGCCGGAAAAGCTTTTCTAGCAAAATCCTGGATTTACTGCGCTTTTCTGCACAAATTTAATTTCGTTTATCACTTTCTGTCCACTTTATTCGATGATGTTTCGGTGTAGTGCCTTGAAGTGGATGGAGCAACTAACTGACGGTGATATCATGGCAGGTGTTTTATCTGGTTGAGTATGTGAAGAAACAGCTTGGTGACCCTAAATTATTCAAGGCGTTTCTACGAGTTACAGTCACTTTGGCAGTTGGTGCAGGGGCATTGGCATTGATAGTTGGTTTGGCCACTGGATATATCTCTCCATGGACAGGGCGGTTCTACTCGCTTCTAGATCCGACGTATGCCAAGATTCATATTCCCATTATTGCTTCAGTATCTGAGCACCAACCGACCGCATGGTCGTCTTTCATGTTTGACTTTCACATCCTTTTAATCCTCTTTCCAGCTGGTCTTTACTTCTGTTTCAAAAATTTAACAGATGGAACCATTTTCATCATTATCTATGGCATGACAAGCTTGTACTTTGCGGGCGTTATGGTGCGGCTCATTTTGGTGGCCACTCCTGCCGTCTGCTTGATTAGTGCTATTGCAATATCAGCTACGCTCAAGAACCTCTCTGGCCTACTTAGAGAGAAGGCTCCGATATACACTTCGACTAAGATAACAGCCAAGCAAAAAGCTTCTGCCAAGGTGCAACTCGTGGTATTCTTGAACATAGAAGTCTTCTTTGCCAGATATGTTGTTTTTAGTAACTTTTCCTGGTGTGATTTGTCGGCCATCATTGTTAGTTAATGATGCGAGGCTTTTCTCTCATTTAAAAATTCATATTTATTTTTTTGACTGGATCAATTTGCATTGCAGTCTGGAGCTGACCAGCCACTACCGTTCCAGAAGGAAGGAGCCATGTTATTGTTACTGGGCAGTCTATATCTAATGATCAGCTTTGTGATTCATTGTACATGGGTCACTTCAGAGGCTTACTCTTCACCTTCAATCGTATTGGCAGCAAGACAGTCTAATGGTGATCGTGTAATCTTTGATGATTTCCGGGAAGCTTACTATTGGCTACAGCATAACACACCTCCAGATGCCAAAGTCATGTCCTGGTGGGATTACGGATACCAGATTACAGCCATGGGCAACCGAACTGTCATTGTGGATAATAATACATGGAACAACACACATATCGCAACTGTCGGGCGTGCCATGGCTTCAAATGAGGATGATGCATATGAAATCATGAGGCAGCTGGATGTTAATTACGTACTGGTGGTTTTTGGTGGTATAACAGGGTATTCTTCTGACGATATCAACAAGTATGGACATCAGAACCTTGCCATGTGTCATGTCTTGACGTTATTGATACTTCTATGGGTATTCTACCAGGTTAATGTGCATAAAAGTGACATGTATCCGTTGTTGTTTATTCTTTTGATATACTATATTTGCGTAGAATTCTTCGGTGTAGGGTCGATATTCTTTTTTCATGTATCTTTATATTGTTTCCAATGATCTTCCAGATTTCTTTGGATGGTTCGAATTGGCTCTGGTGTGTTCCCGGTGATACAAGAGGCTGACTACCTCAACAACGGCGAGTATCGTATTGACAAGGAGGCAGCTCCTAAAATGCTCGAATGTCTAATGTACGTCATTTCTCTTTTGACTGGTTGACTTTAAGCACCAACGTATATTGTGTCTGCTGCCATCCACATTTATTTTTTTATTTTTATTTTTTATTTTTATTTATTTTGCATTTTACATTTAGTTATCTATCCGATTTTATATTTGGTTGCAAAGAATTGTACATGACCCAGTTGCAACTTTACAGTATGAACTTTTTCTGTACAAGCATTTTTTTATTCGAACATATATTTGGTTCCACTAATTAGCAGGTAAAAACTTCATAATGTATTGAAATTTCTTGTGAGATATTGGAAAGGAAAAAGGTTATCGTCTCTGAGAAGTTGTCCTGGTTCATGGGCAGGTACAAGCTATGTTACTATAGGTTCGGAGAAATGCAAACGGAATATGGCAGACCCAGCGGGTAAGTTATTTAACATGCATGTTAAAAGTAGCTACTTGCTTGCTCAACTCTTTATCTCACCATGTTATGGTGGTATTGTCTCTGAGAGGATTACGAACCACACAAATACTGAGCTTCAATAGCCTATGCTATCGTTGGTGCTTCAATTTATGCAACTTCTTAGAGTATGTTTTCTGATGTTTCATGTCGGGCTATTTCATTACAAGTCTTCTCTGCTTCATATACTAAGAATAATATCATTGCAGATTTGATCGTGCTCGAGGTGTTGAGATTGGGAACAAGGAATTCGAATTGAAGCATGTTGAAGAGGCTTTTACAACTCAAAACTGGATTGTGCGCATATACAAAGTGAAACCTCCTGTTAATCGAAAGTGATCTACACCACATTGCATCCCATCGTTTGAGGATGATTAGTGGACCCTTTTGCCGAATCAAGCATGTGAAGTTTTGTATAATCAACCACGTTTGGATTAAACAAGAGGTAATGCAATTTCTGTGCGTCTGAAATATGAGGTGCTCTTTATCTACCTTGGCGGCAAGTGAGGTAGTTAGAATGAGGAGGAACACCTTATCTTTGATATACTAAGTTCCTTAGCGTAGGATGACTACCAAAGATAATGATGTTTTCAAACCATAATTAGCTAAATTTTGGTGACCAGAAATCTGATCCTGGTTGAGTGTGGACTCTACATTTGTTGGACTTCTACAGACTTCCTGGTTTGCATGTTGGATTTGGATTCTTTGTATGATGTACAATCTGTTGTGGGTGTGGAGAAGCCTTGCCTTCGTATTTGAAGATGTTGCACGATTTGTGGATCTTGCATTAACACTTGGGTGTAAAAGCAACTTTAGCGTCAACCGTTATGACAATTTGTTTCAAGTCGAATGTCATAGCATTAAGGAATTTATTACTATTTCTGGACCAAAACGTTAGATTTCTATGCATACCTCATACTACTGCAGCTTAAATTACAGTTCTGTCTACAAGCACTGAGCAATGCTAACACATATCTTTGCAAATAGGTCAAAGTTAAACTTGTATGAATACTCGGGACTTTACATATCAAAATATTAGCTTCTTGAATAGACTTGTGCAATGATATCATATTATTTTTCACTTTAAATCTTGAAAAATCACAATATAAAATATCATTTGTTGTTTTGATTACATGCACTGGAATCAAAGTTGTTTAATGGTAAAATCAATTTAGAAAATGCTTCAGAAGTTTGGTCTGAATTAAATTCCTACACAGAAATTAATTATATATTAAAATTTGCCAGTCTGTACAAAGAACAATACGAACTCTCTAGTGACGACACAAAGAATGAACATAACTGACATTTTTGAATTGTGGGAATGCTCTACAAGTCCAATATCCATATGATGATAAAGATGGTTTTGTTAGAAAGCCATGATAATCAAAAAGTCAGAATGCTATGACTTGTGATGCCACCAACTGCTCATTTGTGACAGTCTCATCGTAATCTACATATGAACAAATACCATCTTTCGTTTTAAGAGGTGGATGTTACCATGGCACAAAGCATGATGTAGTTGTATTTGAATCAGAGACACACAATAGGCCATAATAATTCCTGATAAACATTTTGAAGATGCATCAGGATTAAGGCCTGTAAAACTCAAGCTTCAAGTGTAGAAGAAACTATGATAACTAGCATGCCGTCACCATGGACCAAGTCCATGTCCCTAAGCAAATGGAATTAAAAGTCATGAAAAGACATCTTGGACATCTTGTTCATCTGCTCAGAACAAACCACTTAACATGATAACAGACTGGTGAACATGGTCTTTCAAAGAAGGCACTTTTTATGTCACCAGAAGTAATCGAGTTTCAGCGCATTATAATTAGCCGTGAAGCAAATACTTGGAGAGAGGAAATTGAACACTCCTTGCAACCTGTCCACATGTTGTAAATACAATACATCAGTAATAACTAGAAATCCTTCTCAATATCTACAGAAATCGTGTTAGTTTACAGTGTACATTTCATATCCAAACAATTTGTGGAGCTTGACGACTGCTTCAAAGAAAATTTCTCAGAATCAAAAATTACTTGAAAGGACTAATAAAAAATGTGCGCAGAAAGAAACACAGAGAAGAAAGTAACCTTCTGAATAAGGTTTCCATCTACGTTGCAGCGATAACGAGCATTGCCGTCAAGAGGGTTAGTAGAACTTTTAGACAAAAGATTCACACTAACGAGGGTAGATAGCTGCATAAGGACGTCCGCTGAGAGCTCCTCTGTCATGTGACCATCCCCCTCTGCTTCTTCAAGGTTCCCATTGAAGAGAGGTCCAGAATGGAAGGACCCAAACCCATTGCTAGGAGCAGAATCACTTTCAACAACAATGCAGCGGAAAATGGCCAATAGCCTCTCAAGTGGAAAGCTGCCAGGCCCCTTCATTTGTTGCTCATGAGCCTCAGCCTCCTTTCTTTCCATGGCTGAAGAGGAATTCCTGTGAATCACAACCACGTTGTCAAATCATGGTCCCAGTGTATCTGACACACAGACTGCACTACGTATTAATATGAAGTACAAGAGGTACATACGATTTCCTCTCATCAACGGAAGTATTGTTATAAATTACCAAGCAGATATAGAGGGACCTGAAGAGACAGTGTACTCAAAGCGGCTTCGATAAAGGACAATGAAGTTGTAAGTGCAAGAACAGCCCACACCATGGTGTCTTTTGGCTGAACGAAGGATGAATCTTCATAGTTTTGATAAATATTTAGTACTTACTTCCTCCTCTTCCGAGAGCTGCCCCGAGCACCATCCCCTGCGTCGAACAGTGCAGCATCCAGTGTAGCAGCATTTCGTGAGGCTATGTAGGCAGCGAGCAGGAGGTACTTGCTGCATTGTGGCATCTCAAAAGCCATGTCCTGTACGTCTTTTCCAGACGATAGAGTCCTTCTGGGAGTGGACTTTGTACGTGCTAGGTTTCCGCCTGATTGATCAATTTTGCTTCTCTTTGGCCCTGTTGAACATATCATTAGCAAGGATCAGAATAAAGGATAATGTTGACCCACAATGAAACCACAGTATCTACAAGTCACCTAATTTAGAGTGGAGAACTCTGTAACAAATACACAAGTAACAAGACAATGCAAAATGGCAAAACATACCTGGAGTAGAGGAATTTATGATAAGGGTTTGAGAAAGGGCTGGCCGAATGTAAGGCTGCAGCATTGCATATCGCTGCCGCTTGCCGTTGTCGTCAGGTGTGGTTGCCCCCCGAAGCATAGGTTCACAATACTTTTCGTACAGAGGCTCTAAACTCCTGGAAAGCTCCGTTACACGTCGACATGCCCGACTAAATGTCTTCAAAACAGCACTGAAGGACACAGGGAAACCCCCAAATTTAATCACTGACGATTCAAAAGTGTAGTGACCAACATTGATTTGCCTGTGTCCCTTGCCATAGAAACAGTGATCATGGCAATGTAGATTGAGAGTCCGAACGAGCTGACATCCAAAAAGCAGGTAGGTTACGTGCGATTTTCAAGTGGCAACATATGCCTCCGACTGAAAACCTTACCTCAGAAATGAAGCATAAAGGTCAACGTTGGGGCGCTGAAGAAGGAGAATCTGGTTAAGCTCAGAATCATTGTAATCGCGAAAATACATGGAGAGTGGCTCCCGAGACAAGCTGGACGCCTGATACCCATCAAGACCTACGCTGCTAATGAATATAAGCCCCAGGTTTGACAATCTAGTCAACTCTGAAAGCCTAAACAACGCGCCCAGAAGTAGAGCACCGCCAGTCCACCCACGTGACAGCTCCACGTTGTCGAAAATTAAGTAAACCGTGTCATCAACGTTCGCACACGATGTTCTGCAGGCTGCCTTTGGAGCGTTCTGTTCTGCATAAACAGGCGATTGAGCCACAATAACATACGGCTATATTCGCTTCACATCAACAATATTAAAGAGTTTATTTTGAAGATGTATACATACTGATAAAGAAAAGTAATCTGGACTCCACTCATGTCACAACCCAATATGACCTAGAAAGGTACAGCCAAGTTTCGTAAACAGAATCCTGATTCCGCATTACTTCAGACACTGGGCAATTTGCCAAACACATCTTTACAACACTATATTGTTGGTGATAATTTTGACGCCGTTGATTACCATGGAAAGTGAAACTCTCAAATGATTCCATGTTGAAAATCTGAGTAGAAAATCTGTCTGTATCGCACCTTATTGGCAGATCGAAATCTCGCATCATGGGAGCTCTTACGAGACAAGGCCTGTGCACAAGCTGCAGGCAAATGCTTCGTGAAGTCTATCAGTCTTTCGCATTTACGCGCACTCCCATAGTTGTTGGAAGCCGATCGAACATGGCCCAAGAGCTGATTGAGCATGGATTCAAACATAAGCCGTGGCGTGTGACTTGATCGACAACTCACATATGCATGAGGGCGCCCAAGAACTCTCATTGTCTCACGCACTATGCTAGTCTTCCCAGTCGCAGCTGGTCCATACACAAACAAAGGTGGGATGAGGTCACAGGGTCGCCCCAGAAGATTCAGCAGCTGATTGATCTCATTTCTGTATGCAAGAAACATGAATTTAGCCTACTTCGTCCAGAGCTGTACAACATCATTGCACCCAATGCAACGTTGCAGTGGTAGCCAACATACAACACAACCGAGAAAATTAGACCTGTTTCAATTAATCAACAAAATCAATTCAGAGGGCATGCTTTTCAAATTAGTTACCTGCGGCCCGGGAAGATTTGGCTCATGTAGTCTAAAGTGGACGTTCTGCTGCTGCGGGAGGTTTTAGATTGTGGGCCGCCATTATTGCCCAGATTCACAGCATCGCTGTCAATGGCTACTCCCCCATCCGATACATTTCTGCCCGATCGCGAGGGAGAAGCCAGCAAAGCTCGCCTCAAGGGCCGGCCCGGGAGTGGCGACGTTTTCGGCTGCACCACACCATGTGGGCTACGCCGAGTTGAAGGTGAGCATGGACTACCCCGACTCTGGCCCGGAGTCACCTCCGACACAAAACCATCCGGAACCTTCTTGGGGCTGGCAGAGGACGCACGATGCGATGCACTGCGGGTTTCCGGGCAAATAACTCTCTGTTCTGGCAATCCCTCCATCGCATCAAAACCCTTTCAAACCATCATCCCCCAAAAATATAGAACAACCCACAGGGAAAGGGGCATTACACACCACAAAGCCCACCCACGTCACTAACCCTCAAACTCCACACCATTACCATCATCAACCAACACGCACACAGACTAGTAAAATCTCCCCCCCCCCCCACAACCGGATTCCAACAAATTATGACTAACCCATTGATCAAACAACAATGCCGCGTAACAGTGGCCCATTACCATAGCCACCCATCGCTGCAAAAAACGAAGCAAAGCGGGAAACACTCACAGCTGTACAGGGTATCAGCACTCAGTTTTAAATTTGCGAGGATCTCAATCGAGGCTCAATATATATCCAGGTAGGTAATGGATGAATGAGAAAGTCCTTATTTTTCATTCGTTCTTGTGGGCGATGTGAGCCCCAAACCCTAAGCCCTGGAGGGGAGCATAGTCCGCGATAACAAAGCCCAGGAAGGTCCTCTCCAGCCGGCTCTTTCTTTGGGTACCTCTCGCAGCGCGGTCGATCTTCTTCTCCTTCGAGCTTCACCAATCTGCCAAGATGGTGACGCCTCTCATCAAGCGCGATGTCGTCAAGAAGCGGGTCAAGAAGTTCAAGCGCATGCAGTCTGACCGCAAGATTTGCGTGAAGGTATTGAAACTCTTCATGAACATTTTCCGTTTTTTTTTTTCTTTTTCTTTTTTTTTTTTTTTTTTTTTTTTTTTTTTTTTTGCCGTTTCTCCTCCGTGCTTCTGCGCTGCCTCTAGTTTGAAGGATAGATGGTCGTATAGGCTGCTCGTTTGTGGAGTGGTGTCTTTTGCGATTTTTTCTTTCCAAGTGTGTACCTGTTAGTTACAAGTTTTGCATGACGAGGGTTTTTTTTAGATTCATTGTGTAATGGCACTTGTGTGCTTTGGTTGTGGAGGTTGTTTTTGGAATAGAGGGTCATTGGTTTTGGTTTGAAGCTTCTTTGTGTTGGTGAGATTTGGTAGTTACCTTTCTTAGGTTTTCCCACGCGCACATTTTGATGCGGCTGATTTGGTTCTGAACGAGCCCTCAGAATTGATTTTTTTAAATTGTTGTACGGCTGCTGACGAGAGTTTTGGCCGGTGTGTATGTCTCTGTCAGACGAATTGGAGGAGGCCAAAGGGTATCGATTCTAGAGTTCGTCGTAAGTTCAAAGGCACTACTTTGATGCCCAACATTGGTTACGGCTCAAACAAGAAGACGAGACATGTGCTCCCAAGTGGATTTGTGAAGTTTTTGGTTCACAATGTGAAGGACGTGGAGCTTCTGTTGATGCACAACAGGTAATCAGTTTTTTCATGCTTTTCCCTCTCCACTGGAAATCACTCATTAAAGTGAGCTCTTACGGGTGTAGCTTCGGTGTGCTTGGAGTTTAAAAATGAAATGAGATGTATGATGTCATGATTGTAGATGAGATGTTTGAGGCATATTGCAACTGATGCGCAAAGTAATGAGAGAATAGATCCATCATCCCCACTGCTTGTTGACATTCTGGGACACATAACGGTGTCGCCTTCTTGTCCCCCACGTACTCCCATGTTCCTGCTAGCGAGCTACGTGGTATTGTGCATTAATTAAAATTTTGGTAAAGTGGGTACTCGTGATTTAATTTGGCCCGCTAAGTCTGAACATTTGTGTATATGATAATGCAGAAAATACAGCGCTGAAATCGCACATAATGTATCCACCCTGAAGAGGAAGGCTATCGTGGAGCGTGCAGCCCAGTTGAACATTGCATTGACCAACGGAAGCGCCCGCCTTCGCAGCCAAGAAGACGAATAAATCATAGGACTTAGTGCAGTTCTCTGACGTCTTCCGTAATGTATGTGGCCTATGTGGAAAATTTTCACCTTTTTATCGAGAAAAGAAAAATTTGTGAACTCCTTTGACGGTCTCTCGCTGCTTTATGTTGTGATCCTTTTTCTGATTTGTGAAGAACCGAGTTTGGAGTGAATATCAGTTCTAAATTGGCTATTCTTTGGGTGACAACACTTCCGCAGGCGAAATCTATCTATTCTAAGATGCATCATAAAGATCTGGAGATTGCGTCTTTCTTCCTTCAATATGACGTCAGATATACTTTTTGGGCCGCGAGATATCTGTTCAAGTAATTTTATGAAATGTTAGTTATTGCTACGAGGGTTGTAGTTGTCAATTGTCACGAGTGCAGGAACCCGGAGATTGTAACAATGTCTTTAACAGCTTTGAGAGGAATGCCTGGTCCATCGGGAATGCTAATCACTTACCAATATGTGTGTATTCGTCCAATTCAGCCTTTCATGTCAGCACATCATCCAGCAGGTGTCCACATCCATACGCTCAAAGCGGGACACATGTGTGTAATGAATGAACATTAGTGTGAATGGGGCTTCGATTGAACTGATGTCAGAACTTGTGCGAATCCATAAGATGAGCACTTCTGCTACTGACAATAACCTTGATGTCACAACAATGTTTCTTGTACAGAAGCTTGTGTACACTCTGTAATGCAGAATTATGTGAATTTTAATGGAGCTAAATGTGTGAATAATTGTTTGGGTTTAAAATCATTTTCATCGTATATATTATTTTATTCTTCTTCCTGAAGTAGGATTGAGTGTTTGTCTTGATGTGAGTACTATTTGGTAAATTATTTGTAAGCACGCCTCTTCAAAACTATTTATAATTTTTATTCTGTTTATATCTGTGGCATTGCGATGATTAATCGAGATCTTTTAATTTACCTGCATCAAAATAAATTCAAAGTATAGTTTACACCCCATTTCCATCCATTAACCCATCTGAAATTAGATTTTAGCAGTTGCACATCTAGCAGTGTAGCAATATTCCAAAACACCACACACATGAGTATAAGTAACCAATGTTCTGTGCAGTAAAACTATCACCAAGAGTGTTGAAGCCTAATGACATTTCACCTAGTTAACAATATTATCAAAAGTTCATTAACAACGGTTTGTTCACAGAAGAAATGATATGCCTTGTTGGTGGATAAAAAAGTATATCTAAGGATTTACTGTGATTACAGAACTGTTAGACACAACTTCCTGGGAGATTTTGATGGCAAAATGACATGGCTGTGACAAGAATAAAGGTTTCATATTCCGAATTTTAGGTAGGATTAGAAGATTGAGATAGCATCGCGTTGCACACATACATCATAATAACTCAGCTGAAGATTAATGTAAAGATGGAGTTGGACAGTGCATATTCAAATGCAAATTACAAGTCAATTGCATATCTGAGAGTATCAACACCTGAATTTTTTACTGCAAACTGAAATACTACACAATGCACTGCATGCCAGGCTAAACCGAAGCGTTCCAGGAGTTGCAAAATGGCAGCTGAACTCAATTCTATACAAACTAACTCCGATCCATCTGACAAGGCAGTCAGTAGCAATGGTACCCCAAGTAGTGTGCTGGATCCAAGAACGCCTAACTGAACCCATTTACGAGAAGTCGATAGCGAAACATTGTCGAGGAATCAGGAAGTTCGCAATTAATTTCGAACTACGCAATCCAGCTCTTTGCCCTCCAGTGGGAAATTGCTGTGCCATACATTACGAATGGTTACAGTGCAGATCACCACATCTCAAAGCATTTGATAGTAAACATTTACTGCATGGTAACTCTTTACCGTTCCATTCACTAATTTTCACACTGAACCTCAGTGGCTTGCCCGAACGAACATTATCAGTGACACCACTCCAAGAGCGAACACGTAGAAACACTCGAATTGTGAAGGACAACATACCACCAGAGGAGTGAATACATCCTCCTGAATTCAGCAAATAATCACGAGATATTCCTTACCTGCCTAACAAGGTTGATATTTAACAATAGCAGAAAAAATGTTTGAAAGTGGAACACAAGCCACGATACAGTACCTCATACATAGTGTGCCTCTTTTATAAGCTCAAAACCCCCGACACGCCTCTCAATATGTCTTCCTAAAATTCTCTGCACATCCCACAGGACAGCGCAAAGCCATCTGACAGATTCAACCACGACGGCAGTGCAGTATCAAGACCAGAAAAAACTGGACCACTAGAAGCTGGAACTAGTAACGGTAAATGCCATTTAAACGAAATAACAGGGGTGCTCAATTTTGAATGCTACAAAAGGTGGGTTGCATCGAGCGTGAGAACAGGTATACCTAGATGATGCAATAGGTTATTTCGTAGGTTGTCAGAAAGTATCACCATCAATGGAGCTCCTGGGGCTGGAAAGATTATCACGTGACTTACAATTGTACTTGTGTCCGTCGGACCAATGTTTCACTTGACATTCTCGAGAGCTGGACAACGAACCAAGTCGGATCAGATAAATTAGGTAAGGGCTTCGAAAGGGAATCATTGCCCTCGATAACAATTGCGATTATCATGATCATAACAAACCTTCAACAGGGTAAACCGCTAATCTTTACCCGGTCTTCAGGATTACCTGCTAGGCCAAGGAGAGAAGAAAACGTACCAGTAACTGATGCTCTTGCAGCGAGAGCATCGCCGTCTTGTGGGCTTCTGACACACAACACAGCTAAGACCCTGGACGTTTCTAGGAGAAAATTGGGCAGTTTCTAGCCTGCCTGCTTCCTCCTCTTTCCACCTTCTACGAGCGTCCTCTTCTGCTGCGGCGGCTCGTCTCCTACGCTCTTCCTCGGCCTCTCGCTTGGCTTGAGCTTCTAAGTCTGCTTTCCTTCTCTGCCATTCTTGCTCTTCTTCTTCTTGTCTCCTCAACTCATTCTCAGCTTCTTCTCTGCGTTTGCGGTCTTCCATCTCCGCTTGCTTCCGAAGAGCATCAGCCTCTTCCTTTCTTCGGATGTAATCCGCTTCCTCTCGTTTCCTGTGCTTCTCGTCTTCTTCAACTTGCCGTCTGCGTTGTAATTCAGCTTCTTCATGCCTCCTGTGCTGTTCCTGTTCTACAACTTGCTTCCTTCTGCGAGGATCAGCCTCAGAGTCCCTATATCCTCTTCTATCCTCCCTCCACTCTCCTATCCCTATATCGTGTCCATAACCGTTTCCTGGCGACGCTCTGCGGCGAAAATCCTGAGACTCTACCTGTTTATGCCGCCTGTAATCCTCTTCCAGCTCTCTTTCGGCCATCGCCTGCTCTCGCATCGCCGCTTGCTGGAGTCTTTGAAATTCGCTTCGGCGAACATGGCTAGTTTTCGTGGACCGCTGACAACAAAACCATACGCCATAGGCGCATGCTATAATCGGTAGCAACAACACAGCAGGAATGTGTATATCCAAAAGTTCCCACATTTTGGACCTCGTTTCTTTCTCCCTCCAGGCACACAACAAGTGCTGTCTGACCACCAAGTGCCTTCGTCTCCCTAGAAACTTCTTATGACAGCCCTCTCTCGCTTAGAAGAAACTCAAAGCCCGACACACGTGCCCTAGAATGCTCCAGACTAGTATACTTCAAAACCCTGAATGCAATTTGTGGCAACAAGGATCAGCACACGTTCTAAATGACCCAAACTGAGTGAATCAACAAACCTGCCCATTGCCAGACGCACAATGGTATGCCAAATGGATTATGAACACAAGCAACATGAGAGAATACGTCAGGTTTGATTGATCAACCGCCGGCGGATCTTACTGTTAGTCAGAAAAGTACAGCATTGTTCGAATATTACCAAGTCATTTGCCTCTCGGCCGAAAGCTAAGAACCTCAGCAACCAATTCATTGAAGTACAATTACACTAGCATCCATTTGATTACTTACGCTTCCAGAAACAAATGACAACGACAAGCACAATACAGAATCCCAGCTAGATTCCAACAGCAGAGGTTCAAAACTAGCAAGCTCTTGTCTGGTTCAAAACGGCGAGGTCTCGACAACTGAAAAGTGTAGCCCTACAAAACTAACCTCGACCAATTTCATGAAGCCCCAGATAATCTTCAGAAAAAAGAGGGCACATGCATCCTAAATACGGGACGATGAGCAGGGCTCAACACGAAAAATAATGAACGGTACAGCACAAAACCTTGTGTGGGGTTCCAATGGTTCCAGCGGGACGCTGAAGGGTTAAGGGCACAACACTCTAATCCTAGCGAAAAAGCCTGCCTAGGGATTGCCAGGTCTTACAGAAGTTGGATGAAGAGCTGCCACAGCACCAAGGCAGCTTTACAGACCAAAGAAACACGGCGTCTGGTGCAACGGCTACGCGAAGAGAACAGTGCTCCAACAGTGAGTTTCACTTTAACTGCTTCCTGTTGAGTCCTGGGACGCTCTGAAACTCTGCAATGACGGGAGGCAGACGCGGGAGGGAGTCTGCAGGGGGTGAGGAGCAAGTCACGCTCTTAAGCAAGCGCACAACTTAGACAAATTCCTCCGTGTTCAGTATCTTGTTTGTATCTACACAGGTATCCACTGGCAAGGTGATACACATTGACCTCGCAGGCTCCAAGGCTCTCTCTCCACACAGATTCAGGGCTTAGGGTTGGTGAGCTAAATCTCCATCATTGGCATCATCAGCTTCGGCTATGGCCGTTGGAGTGAAAAACCTAGTAGCAGGTACTGCTGGACTGCAAAGGAAGATATGGCAGAAGTACTAGAGTGAGTGGTGGATCGTTTATTGCGTGAAATTGTACATGTTGAGCTTTGTCATGGCAATTGGAAACTTTGGAATAAAACGACGATGACGACTCATTGGTCATGTGGGAAAGTAGGGTGGTGGTGGGATTGACCGAGTCAAATGGAGAACGGAGGGGAGGGAGCACCTCTGGCCCGCTGAAAGCCCTGGTTTCCGCTCTGGCAGCAAAACGGCTCTACTTCTCGTCTTATTCCTCAAGTGTCCCTTCCTCCCCTTGCCCTCCTCTTCGAGCCGCCACGCTTTTCATCGACCACATGAAACCATTACCCTTGAAACTGTCAATTCCAACGTTCGGATTCGATTAACCTCAGTGCGCGTGTGGGAGTTTGACAAATCAGCAACCTGTTGATAGTCCTTCTCGCTTCGTTTCCTTGTGAATTTATGCGTCACGTGCGAGACGACCCATCACGGAGAATATAATCCACTGTCTCAACCGGGATGATATGCTCGCACGGATACGTTGCGTTGGAGTGGGCCCGGTTACAATCCATCACACCTATTTTCACTTTCATTCTTCGTTTTATCTTCTTAATTCTTCCGCTTCCTGTTCAACCATTTTAGGAATCATCAATGAATTGAAATCAGATAGGGGGTGGGGGGGGGGGGGAGGTTTGCCAAACCGGGCAATTTGATGGTGAAAATTAGGCTTCAGTTGGCCACATGAACAGCTCGATTTCACACAATTGGCATCTAATTTCAAAATCACATAAACCTTTTGCCCATTGCATACCCATACCGTTCTATGGCTTCTCGCCTTCTCCTATTTTAAAAAACCGGACGGAGTTCTAGCAATGTATAACCAACGGCAAAAAATTAAAAGACAAAAAAAAAAAATTCTTACAGCTTTAATTTCTTTTAAATGAAAATGCTCGCAACCAGACGCGTTAATCCACGTTGAAGCTCTCTTCTAGAAGACTCCAGATTTAGCTCGACGTCTTCGGTCACTGGTTTTCTGCTACAATATCGGGGAGAATAAGTATTCGAGGGCTCTTTTGAATGCCGATGATGGTACCAGCTTTGAAGCGATTGATAAGCATTGAGGTCGAGGTTAGAGAGAATTCTGTTATTGTAGTGCGGAGGTTTGCGGCCATGTCAGGGATGGGGGATGGGTACGTAGGCACCGCCCAGGATGCCGCCAGGATTCGGCGGCTTGAGAAGCAGCGCGAGGCGGAGCGGAAGCGTATTCAGGACCTCAAGAAGAAGTCTGCGGAGGGGCAGGGAGGTCTTCTGCAATTCGGCTCCGGCACTTCAGAGGTAGAGTACTTGCAGCTCGATTCCTTTTCTCTTTTTTTTATATCTGTTTGTGTTGCAACTACGAATAAGGAGATGGAGTTCGATGACGGATAACAACTGTGCCGCGACCTTAACGAATTTTCTGTGTAACTCGCCACGAACGGTTGAGTGTTAATTTGTGCGTTCACTGGGTTGTTAAGTCTCCTTGAATTCGCTCTCCATTGTGTTTGAGCTGAGAATGTGAGCCTTATTGCGATGCATTACATGAGCTTGTAGCATAGAATCATTGGACACACCATTTAATTGGTAATGTTAACTGGGAGCTTCTTTCATAAGCCATTGAGGGAATACTAGGTATCGCATGGAGACCAATTATTGTAGAGGATGTTACGACATAAGCTACGTGCTGGGGTTTGAATCCTGGTCTCTCTACGCATTATGTCTCAATACCAGGGTTGAGTTTTGGCTGAAAGATTTAGTGATGTAATTTTGGGGAGCACACTGAGATGATGTTAGGGTTCCTCGACTCACTGTCGGAGTTTGAATGGGAGAGAGTTTAGTTTATTCTGTATCGTTAATATTTTGATTGAATATTTTTCCATTGTGCCCGCCCTTTACCGAGAGAACTTGAATTTTGCCATCTTATATTTTTCTGATTACACTGTTTTGATGCGTACTGCTGTTTTCTTCTGTTATGATTGAATAACGATTTTGGTTTCTATGCTACGATGCAGTTATTGGAAAGTGCGTTCAAGAAAGAAACTGTGGGACTTGTGACTCGGGAACAGTTTGTGGAGAAGGTATGAATTTTATCTGTCTTCTTTGTAAAATCTGAATTTATTCAGCGCACCAATCATATTATTGCAGATGCTTCCTCATAAGTTATCTCCTCTTTGCTTGACGCTCATGTGTTACCTGCTTGGATTCACTGAAATTTGCAGCTGTACAGATTACGTTGTTTTGTCTTCGTCAGTAAATTGATCTCTGGGTATGCATGTGCGATTCGCAGAGAGTCAATTTGCAATCAAAACTTGAAGAAGAGGAGAAAGAGAAGCAGCAGAAGCTCGCTCTAGAGTACTAATTAGGACCTTCTCGCATATTGGCCGCTATGCTTAATGATTGTATTCAGTGATTTTCTATGTTTGTGTCACCTAAATGGTCGTTCAACTTTTGTCTCGAATTCCAATTCAAGCTCATTTTAATTTTGTCCCCGTAGGGAGGAGCAGAGACATGTGCAAAAACGGAAGAAACGGAGGGTTAAAGGCCCTTCACGTCTTTCTTTTTCTGATGAAATTGACGGGGACACAGATGAAGAAAGTGAAGCTGTTGGTATGTATTGCTATTCCCTTCTATACTTGCTGAATGCACACTTCAGTGCTTTAAGCTAAGAAACTTCAGGTTTGTAGAGAATATGAGATTTGGGATTTTTCCTCGTCTCTGGGTACCTTAAATATTAATAGGTTTCACGCGAGTTCCACAATTCGAATTGAGAACCGTAAAATGAACACTGTAGCTGTCTCGTCAGTTAATTCTCGGATTTTTTACTGTATGCTGTTGAGTGGATTTTCTTATCTGATAATGTTTGTAAGCTGGCTTCGCGATCCCTCCATGAATCTCGATATTACTACCATTGCAGAGAAACAGAAAGGAGAACCTTTGAAACAGCAAAAGCTAGGAAAATTTGGGAAAGATCCTAATGTCGAGACCAGCTTCTTACCTGACAGGTATTGTGATTGTACTTTCTTTCCCCAGCTCACTATTATTTGTTGACCGAGGAGCGCTGGTGTCCTGTGCTTTGTCTAATCCTCGTTTTTGACACTGACTATCAAGTATGTTGAGTTCATATGTTATGGTCTAGTATGTTCAGACTGTGTGTAGTGTCAAAGTGAACTTCGTTTCTTTTCCATAAATGTGTTTTTTTCTCGGATAAAATGTAGCCGCTTTACATGATTCGCAATAAGTGAACAGCACTGCCGTCCATCTTCTTGGAATTTATATTTGGTTGCAAGCAATCCAGCTATAAATCTTACTATGCTATGAAGAGTGTGGAGGGTGGAACTGCAGAGAGCGGGAGGCTGAGGAGCAAGCTGAGAGAGAGCGCCTGCGGAATCAGTGGCTTCAAGAGCAAGCTCGCATTAAAAGTAATACAGTTTCCTAGTATATCCAATTGAGTGGTGATTGTACGTATTTAACCTGCAAAAATGTCAGCTGTGGCACTGCCTTAAGTGCCTACATCGTTGTCCACCTCAGCGACTGTAAGATTAATACGATTCGTTGATGTCTAATTACAGACGAGCCTTTGGAGATTACTTACAGTTACTGGGATGGAGCTGGGCATCGTCGAGTCATACAGGTGGCCTTTCCTCCTCAGCTATTTTATTCGCATTGTTGCACACATTCTCTTGAATCCGAGATTTGTAGCGCAATGTATCTATGCTCCCTAGGGTTTTTTGAATGGAATGTGGCGTACATTCTCTTCACAGCCGTATGCTTGTTCCGGTGATTATTCTGAGCTGATGTGTGTGCTTTAATTTCTTACTACTGCAAGGAGTAAATTAAGTCATTGTAGTTTGTAATTTAGGATTCAGTTCAATAAGTAATCAGGAAATATATGGTTCAATAATTTTGCAGGTTCGCAAAGGCGACACTATAGCTGAATTTTTGCGAGCTGTTCAACAGCAGCTTGCTTCAGAATTTCGAGAGATACGTACGGCATCTGTTGAGAATCTCCTCTATGTGAAGGAGGATCTCATCATCCCTCACGTAAGCATTACCCCTTGTGGTTGCCAAAAGTAGCATTCAATAATAACCTAGCTTAGCTGCAGAACCCAGTGACTCTAGTGAGGATTTTGAGGGTTCACTTGACACTGAATTGAGAATGAGGATACAAAACATGTGGTTAGTGTTCACTTAGGCCTGTCTTGTGATTTGAGCTCATTTTTGTTTTGAGACACCGTTTTCAATTAAGCTTTAGTTGTAAAGATGTATGTGGGTATATTTTTTTTGTGCAGCAACATAGCTTTTATGACCTCATTATCAACAAGGCGAGGGGCAAAAGTGGGCCGGTAAACCTAAAGTCTCTATTGCCTAGTTATGTTTTATCTCTACTATTGCCATGATCAGAATTAGGTGATGACGAATATTAGTCAATTGTTTCACTCGGGTTGGAAACCAACATGGTTAAAATTTGCAACTTGTGGTTAAGAAGACATGGTCACAGATGTTTGTAGAGAACTATCTGGAGAACTCTGAGGAGAAGTGGGTTATTATATGTACGTGTGTTCACTCTTAAACATACTTTTTGTGTGCAGCTTTTTCATTTTGATGTCCACGAAGATATTCGAACAATAGCAGATGCTACGATCGAAAAGGATGAGGTATCAATCGGAATCATTACAATTTATCGATGTAGTGCGTCAGCGCATCAATTTTTTGTATTTGGCGGCTACTAAACTTAGGTCTATCAAGCCTTACATTAAGCACACAATTTAATACTTCCTGTTAAATGTTTGCAGTCGCACGCAGGGAAAGTAGTTGAGCGTCACTGGTATGAGAAAAATAAGCACATTTTCCCAGCCTCAAGATGGGAGGTGAGCATGAGTTCTAAAGTTTGCTATCAATGGATTGCACGTATCTAAATGTATTTGATCGCCTCGAAGTTAATTTTTTTGTCACATTGATTGACAGTTACTTTTACCACGCTAATTTCTAAGTGTCATTGTTAGTTGTCATATGCTAGCTTTATGAAATAATGCACCTAAATATTTGGCCGCTAACGGTTCCATTAACTCAGGGCACCGATATATGTAGAGCTAATACTACTGTTCCCTCCGTCGCAGATATATGATCCTACCAAGAAATGGGAGCGATATACAATTCACGGTGACTGACTGGAGTTCGGTTGGACGATACCAGTCCGCTGATCTTATCATCAGTTGTTTTAAAAAGTTTTGGCCACTCAGTTGCAGCTGATTTTTCTTTTGACAACTTCACTTGTTATTATTTTAATGAGAAAAAGTCTGACATTCACACTTGCACACCATTTGGGTATTTTATATAATAATATTCAATTTACTGGACTTAACACAACTGAAGATTATTCGCAATAAAGAACCAAGTTCGAAAAAGAAAAAGAAAACACACTGGCTATATTTGTCAACACTTTGTAACTCCACCTTGACATAAATTTACATAACAATACTATTAAAACAGTTCTCAAATACTTATAAAAAATACATATGAGGAAATATAAACATTTTATTTGACATATCACAACATATATATGCTGTAATAGGCTTTCCATAATAACTAGCTTTTTTAATAATGATACATCATCCAATTGCACTTATTTGATGACATTGTATCTTATCACTACTAAATATTAATACGCACATATTTGTTTTAGATTCAAGATGATTATAAAAATGTCTTTTTAACGTGCTTATCAACAAAATAATGAGATAATGCAGTTATCTGATTTTGTATTTTATTTTACAAAAATATTATAAAGAGAATTTTAATTTAAAAAAACACATTACATCTGCATTTAATATTTAAAATGCAAAAAAATCCATTCTATAAAAACATGAATGAGCATGCTTCTAATCCAACAAACTATTATGTCACTACAAACCTTCACATGTTACACGATAAGTAAATAAATAGTAGATGATTAAAACAGAGCCTAAAAACTCTTGTGCCACAGAAGACCTAACTACCACAAGCACCATATACTCTATGGTGAGGATCATAAATAAAAAAATAAAAAAAGAGGTTGCTCCCATCCGATACCCTCTAGCTCCAACCTCAACCCAAATGTCACCTTGTGGATGGTTATCCACAAGGTGGCATTCATGTGCAATACACTCGGTAGATCACACCCACTTCAAGTTTACCAAATGTTCTTTCAAAGCAAACGGTAACAGAAAAAAACATTGTGAAGATCAAGAAAATTTGATACAGTTTGTGCCGAACCACTGTTTATCTGCAGAGAAATGTCCAAAACAGGAAGTAGATTAAATCAAAGCCTCTACAAGGAATTGGGGGTTGGGTACTAGCGCAAAGGCAGTTCCAGATATAGTATTCCAGATACATCATCCTCCCTCTCAGCTGGATATGGTACAAGGTTGACGTGGTAGAAGTGGAGCTTTGAGAAGACTGCGCATGTGAGAACAATGAGAAGACAACGCATCATCTTCATGTATCCCATCAAGGCAGAAGAATCACATTCAAACCCAATTATAAGATCCATGCACTGACTACCACGTCCAAGTAAGTGAGGGTATACTAGGAATGTACACAAGGATGCACAATGAGTCTAAGTTGTGAGAAGTTGGAACTTATGGGCTCCCATCGCGGATGGGCTCCCAAATGGTCATGGCGTGAGTGATGTGGTTCTTCCACCCGATCAGAAACCAGTGACCGTCATGTCCAACGCCGTAATCTCTGTGATAAACTCTCATCGCCATTTTGATCTTCGCCATAGTCTCCCCACTGCTCGGTATCTGCTGGAACCCAGCACGCGTAGTGCGCGCCTGCCATTGGCGGTAGGTTTCAGTGCGCTCCACTCTCTCCAGCCCTTCGCAAGCGACCACGTTCAGAATCTCTCTGCCAACAATCTCGTGGTCTATGAGTTGTCTGTCTACATGATCTGGAGGGAACGAGGACTCCATCGCATCGAATATTGTTGAGAAGTGAGACAATGCCTCCCGGAAGCGGGACATGAAGAAGGGTGCATTGTAGCCAGCGTTGAATACACCTTGCACAAAGACCTTAAGAATCACAACCAAATTTCTGCGTCATCAGTACATTAATGTGCAGAGAGCACATGAAAATTAAAAGAGGACTAGTTGGAGGGATTGACGTAGGTAAATGTTGAAGAATTGGAGCCAAAGAATATACATTCATGCCCGCATACAAACACACATACACACCTTAGGATTTAAGCTTTTTATTCTGCTCAGCACCAGATTGCGTGGGCTAGCTGCGGTCACTGACTCGTCCAGAAGATGGCGAAATCTGAACATGCAATTCACTGCAAGGACCTCATCCTCTCGCAAAAGAAGATGGGCAGGAGTGATAGCTTCCCACTTCTCAGCAATAGCATGGAACTTAAAGGGCACCCCCATTTTCTTTGCAAGCTTGGCCAAACGCCGTCCTGTGTCCTGAATTCGTGCTGAGGGCCTAAACCCAGGTTGAGGCCTATCAATACCTGACCACATATGTAAGACAAGTAAGACCGCAACCAACAACTGCCAGTGGTCAAATATGAGAAGTTTGGTTATGAAATCCTCTCTTCACGTCGCAAATAGAATAGCAAGGAAAAAGTCAAACCTGTGATTCGAAGATGTGGTGGTCCCTCAGGGCGAGTTGAAAGTTGATAGAGAAGACACGGCCATTGTACTCCATAAAGGATTCCATAATCAATAATATGAACCCGAGAAGCACCTTTGAATGCTTCCACTATTGAATGATTAGCAAAGATGTGTGGCACTTGAATGAAAGGGCAATGCTCGCAAAACAGCATTAGCGCCTTCAACATTTGAGCCTCAGAAGGCCGGTTATTACTCAGAGCTGAGTAAAGTTGTCCACCAGTTCCAGACATTTTGGCAACCTGAGAAATATAATCCCGACCTCCCCTTAAGATAGGACTTCATACAGGAGCACCTTTATTGTCAAACTAAAATGAAAACAAAATTCTGAAAAAACATCAAGGCGATGAACACATACTGCATGTGCCAAAATTCAAAGAGTTCACTGTCGTTTCTCACCATTTCCATGAGGCAAATAACAAACATGTTTGCAAGCTCCAATATAACGTATGAGTGAAAAAAACTAGTCTCAGCAACAACGACGAACATTCAAGAAAACTAACCAGAGCTTCCACAAAGTAATGAGCCATTCGTTGTCTTCCATTTCCATAAGCAGACGAGTGTTCACGCAACTCATTAATTAACTCGTTAGCATATCCAAAATTACCTTGCTCCACTGCATGCGCGCATCTGATGAAACAAGGTAGAAGAAGTTTTTAGTTATAACATAACGCAAGAACGTTGAAGTATAGATTGGCAAGTTCATACCTCATAGTTGATCCTCTCCTTGTTCAACTTACAAAAGTATGGACTTTTCTACAATTTATCTTGAGATAACACTTAACAAATCACTAGAAGATTCTGGGGCTGCTGCTGCAACTTAAGCAGCTTAATCATTAACAAACTGCTTAATTTTAAGACGATGCGGTACGAAACACCAGAAACCATACCTGATGAGAAGGTTGGTCAAATCCACGGGAGTCACGTGTACTTCATTGCCATTTGACGACGATATGGGGTTCGTGAAACCGACAGGTAACATACGTCCATTCTTATTCTGAAGAGAATGAGCAGAGTTTACAGAGTCCAACAGAGACGAGCTGGAGTCCAGATATGAACCATTAGCTTGAACATATGCCCAATGATGTTGTGCAACTTCGAAGTCTTCGTCCTTCAAGGTATTGCAACTGCAAAATTCTGAATCTGCGTTGGAACAAGATTCTTCAGGACTCTCCGCGTGTTTATGACCATGCTTGGTTTCTGAGTCTGGACTATCTCTGAGCTCCGGAGGAAGTGGACCACTAAGAATTTCATTGATCCAGCTGTCAACGTGTCCAACATCTTCTACAACATCTTCCTCACCCTGAAACTCCAAGTATTCTTTTTCAAAAAGTCCGGAATTATCCTCAAAGTGAAACTCCGAATTTGTGTTTTCAGCTCCTGGCATTGAAGAATAGCTTGGATCATATGAGATAAGATCCCCAAGTTCTTTCGCCATTGCCTGGTAAGCACTCATCTCGACAAACATACATTTTTTCTCCTCCACTTTTTCATCCATGAGCATGTCCGTTAAATATAAAAACAGGGGCGTTTTCTCTAGTTCTACCGCTACCTCTACCTCTGCAGTAGCCTCTGTGTTATCAACTGATGGAGAATCCGAAGGCTCACTACGACCAAAGGGACAGAAAAAGTCTTCTTCAGGAGTGTCTACTGCACTTCGTTGGGTCGATCCTGAGAAACTATTGAAAGATGTAAGAGGGCACATACTGGAAAAATCCAACGAATCGCTAGACGGCTGAATCCCATAAGAATTTGATCGCATTGTCTGAGAGGAAGTTCTGGAATGAGACACCTGAGAGCGCTCCGACTGAGCTTCGTTGCCAAAGTTATCAGTCAACATCATCTCCAAGCATTCATTTTTCTTCTGTAGCATGGCTGGATTCAGTGCAACTGGGTGCTCGCCCTCTTTAAAGACAGAAGAGATTATTGCCTTCTTCTCCTCCTGGACATTTGCAAGTTCTGGGAAAAGATTAGATAATGATTTCAATGCAGAGAGTGCTGATGGTTTCGACAATGCAGACGTATCAGCCCCTAAATTTGATGTCGACAACCGTGGAATTTGGTTCTGGGTGCTTGAATCTGGTGTGAAGCTCCGCTTCTGGGCTTTTGGCATCTGTGTTTGAAGCCATACTTGTTGGAGCTGCGCAGCAAGTGAAGGACCCTCCCCCGCTCCTCCAGAACCTTCTGTTCTCTCATGCTTACTTCCAGCCATTGCTATAATCATACAGTGAAGAGCTTCAGCGTATGTAAAAAACTTAATGAAGATTTTATGGCCCCCAACAGGACGACTTCTGTAGCATTAATCTTTGAATTCCTTACACCCCAATTCTTGTGGTGGACTTCTGTACTTGTATTTCGTCCTGTTCCGCTACGATCTCCTTAATGCTGAAGCTGAAGGCATCGAAGAAGAAGCTAGTGATTCCGTGCAACATGCCTATTTGCCTTTTCTCGAAGACAAATATCTGGAGTCATAAACGAAGAAACACCCTAAGACATAAGATTATAACTCAGTCTTCTAGACTTCCTAATGGTCATCTCTGAATGTTGCAGCCAAAGCTCTCAAAGACTTTAAGGGCGTGCAAAAAGTTCCATAAAGAAAAAGGAGTTTAATACCCTAACCGCCAGATACATACTGTAACAGCTTCTCAGGAAAAGCAGTAAAAGCTTTTTAATGGTATCTTGTCACTCCTGGGTTTGCGCGAACGAGTTTCTCACGCGTTGCCGTGTGCCAATGACAGTACAGAATCGATGCTAGTACACAGTTGCATCAATACCACCTCCTTTCGTCCAATACCCTCATCTAATTGAAAATTAAAAATAAAACTAACGCCTACGTGCATGTGAACTTCAACGACAAATGAATGACTTGCGCAAATCTGGCAACCCAAAGTGGCACTTTTCTTTCCAAACTGGCCACCTTGTTTTGAATTGGTACTGCAGTACCTAACACCCAGCTTCACAAGCATCTCTACTTCAACTTAAACACTGATCCGCGCAGTGTAACACCTTGCTAGACCTCCATCAAACCACTGTTCATTGAAGAACTTGTTTCTGCAACTTTTACCTTAGAATCCCGTCTTAGAGCTAAGAATTCCTAGATACATCAACCTAGCAACTCAAAGTTTGTGTTCACGAGTAACCATTCCCAAAAACGTTGAGCTACCCCTTTCCTCTCCCCTTCCTAAAAGTAGGGCCGTAGTCCAGTGGAAGTGAAGCTACTCCACACACACGCACACACGCACACACACAGATAATAGCCACACTCCAGATTAGCAATCCTTACACACTTGCAAACAGCTACACTCGTCGACTAGTCCCAAGTAATAAATCACCAAATTTAACCTAACCCAATTTTTCTGCCCCCCTCCGCCTCTCCAAACAATTTCGCACCCCTCCGAACGCAATAATTCTCCCTCACTCAAGGCTCGGCCCAACTGCAACCCTACCCTTCTCCTCCTCGTCGCCCACCCCGAGCTCCGAAAATCCCTTCCATTCCGTAACAAAATCTCAACCCCAGGCTCCTCCCCCAAAAAGCACCCGCAGAATAAAAAAACATCCCACACTCACACGGCTTAACACACTATTGACTCGATCAGTAAAACAACCCACCTGATCAAAGTCTCTCCGCTCTTCCGATTCCCGCCAGCAAGTGCCCCCAAAAGTCACGTCTCTGCAAGCCCCATCATATCACTCGCCGCCCGCATTGCCGAAACCAGCGTCTGAGAGCGAAAGCAGGGATCACAAATGGCATCTTGTGTGCATGGGCTACAAAGACTCATACCCTCGAATCCATGCACAACAGGGAGCCAAAACAGCTCTCACAACCCTCCCTCCTCTCCCTGAAATCCACGAAACGGCACATCTAGGATTCTCATTCGAATCTTCCTCGTGGTATGACCATCCCATTACGTACATCCACTCCGACATTAGATAGTCGTGATCAGTACTCTTGCACATCAGCGGTCAGGAAAGATGCGATTGCGGGTGTACTCGCTGGAGCACCCATGAAAGGTGCGGCAGCTTCCGGTTTCCTTTCTAGGGATCTTTCTAGATGTGAAGCCCCACCATCACGTGCACACACACCCACTCTGGCACCACCCTCCTCCTGTGGATCTTCACTTACAGTATCCTCGCAGATCTTTTCAATCCATTTCGTCTCCAACACATCTCGCGAGAACGCTAACTCTCCCTTCTATCATTCCTCTTTCCCAGGGATAACATAATTGTTTTTTTATACATTAATTTTCTGCCCAAACTCCCTTATCTTATCTATGTGGCATCTGGGACCAGATCTGTAGGGAACCACCTTGGAGCGCAAGGTAATACTGACCTTCTAAAACGATTGTCAGTGCTTCTGGGCAAGACACGGATTCTCGGGAACCCCACGGGGCCAATTAGCGATGTGAAGTTTATTGGAAATTGTGGTGGTTCGTCCAGCGTGGATGCTGCATGACCCAATTGCTGTCTCTGCTAAAGCTTCCTGGACACCTCCCACGCACACCCCACGTCACTGTCTCCCTCGGGTCGGGAGGGGACCTCGGGGATTGCGACAAAGGAATCATCGCCTCCTGCTTCGATCAACGGCCTCCTGCTTCGATCAACGGCCTCCACCAGAATTTCCAGGGGATCTTCAAACCCTCTTCGCTCTGCGTCATTCGGAACTTCGAAACTTCCTTTCCAAGCTCAATGATGCTGCCAAACAGTTTGGAAAAGCTTTGCGGAACAAGCTCGGTGCGACATGGAAACCTTTCTATGCGAAAACGCGTCTGCCTTCCAAAAACAAATCCTAATCCAGAAACATCATACGGCGGTACTTCACGGCACCTCGCTGCACCTCGCGTCGACGCTTCCATGAGCTTGGGCAAGAATTTCTAGGAGTTGACTAGTAAAGTTGGGTCGCTATATAGCTTTAAAATAAGTTCCCTGGTAATGTGCAAATTGTTCGTAATTAATTTAACAATTTAGAAGAAATTACGATTGATTAACTTAAGTTTATGATCCTTTGTTTGTAAGATAGTCTTGCTGAGACAAAATCTTCAAATGTTTTGTAGATTAAAACTTGAGGTTGAATATCTTCTTCTTTTCTTGTTGTCCATCTTTTATTATGGAATTTCTTAACTGGTAGCTGGATTGGAAGTAGAATTTGTACTTTATTTGTAAAAACTTTGATGGTTTTATTTATAGTAACAAATGATGTTACTTTGAAATTCAGTTGAAATTCAGTTGTAGTATTTATTTTACATAAATAAATTAAATCAAATAGTAAATTTTTTTATTAAAAAAAAACATTGGTTTGTTTTCAAGGAGAGTGTGTATGTGCTAAGGATATGAATCTCAAAGAATTAAAATGTCAATATACTCTTGTGTCATTCAAAAAGAGTATAAAATCACTCAAAAATGATATAGTAATAAACTAAAATGGCTATTGCCAAAGATAAGAAGACTAGAAAGTCTTGAGACAAAACTAAGGACTAGAAAGGCCTTGACAAGAGTGAAGAAGGCATCACTCTTGCCTCCATATATACTCTTAACTAGGAGCTACGTGACGATGTCTTATAGGACCCTCAATACATATTAATTTTCTAAGATACATATCTTAACTTGCAAGGCAAGTTTTATATATATATACCACATAGTTAGCTTGTTTCAGAGGCTACCAACACGTGGTTAATTTATTGACCAAGTTTCTATCCTATCAATTAACTACAAATACATGTAAAGTCAAAACAGCATCTATGGAACTTTTAGGAAGTTTTTTTTAGAAAATATTATAAAATAAATCTATTTTTATCTACTTCTACATAATCATATGGATAAATATCATAATAAATATGTATGTCCATGATATTATCTTCCTTTCTAGAAACAAATTCCATAAGGAGCGGTTATCATATGTTGAGGAAATCTAAGATCCAACAAATTATGTTTGTCACATTCTTTGATCTTTGTTTTCTTTGAAGATGGTTAATAGGTCTTTTTAACCATCAATAGTATTCCATACCAAGGCAAGAAGACCACCCTGTTATTTAATTATTTTTGAGGCCTTTATAACTTCCTTCAAATAAAACATTTAGAATACTATTAAGAATCGTTGCAACTTCTAATAAAATCACCAGATATTAGGAATCTTTTTCAAGGTCGTGATACCAAACACGTTGTATCTTGCATCTATTTGAGGAAGGACATGTCATTTTTAAGGATTTTCATCTCGATTACATTGTCTTGAAGGTTGTGACAATTCCAATATTTTATCTAGTAAGTCAGTAATTGATAGTGCTTGAGTTGAATCTGCTAGTTGTTGGTTCTCCATCTTCTTAGCATCACAAATATACAAAAGTATCAAACAAGAGTAGAAACTAGAATGTTATCTTCTTTGAATCTTATTTCTTTTATAACAAAGATTTATTATTCTTCATCATGGTTTTGATGAATGTCATCAAAAAATCTCATCCTTCTTTATTGCATTTACAAGATTCTTTGTTGGCTCTCATGTGTATTTATTAATTTGTTATTCATGCCAATAAATAAGATATTATAACCTATTTTGGCACTACCTTGAATCTAAAACTTTTTTCGCATCAAATTTTTGATTAACATTCATTTTTATAAGAAGAGGTGGCATTTGTCTTCTTCTTGAGATATCCATTTTTTTATATGGCTCAAGAAGAAATACATGGAATATGGGTTGGATCTTCATAGACTCTGATAGATATAATCGATAAACAACATGATTGACTTATTAACAAATAAGAAAAGGTTTTAGCCTACAAGAGTCCAGTTTATCATAAAGGCAAATAATCTTGATATTGCAATGAAGTAGTCCTACTTAATCACCCATGTTGAATTGTGGTTGTTCCTTATGATAGGCATTTGTATTGATCTTATCTCATTCTTGAACTTCCTTTAAATGTGCTTTCATTGTTGTATGTAATTTTGACAAATGATTTGTCAAATCTTTTGCTACAAGATTATCAACCTTTAAAAAGTCAAAGATATCAAGAAGTGTTTGTTGAATAGATAAATGTATGAAATTATTATATGCAAACTTTGTCAATGGCAAAAGAGTTGTCTAATCATTTTGATCATAGTTGATGGTACTACTCAAATAAAGCTTTAGAGTCTGATTCACTCGTTCCATTTGCCCTTCAGTTTGATAATAAAAAGCCGAAGAGAGCTTTACATTCACCATTAGAATCTTGTAAAGGGCTCTCCAAAATCTTGATATAAATTAAGTCTTCCTATCCAATATAATATCCTTGGCCAATCTATAATAGCAATAGATATTATAAAGAAAAAGCTTAGCCGTTCTTTCATTTGTGATAGATTTTATACATAATATAAAATGTGCCATCTTTGTAAAACAATCTACTATCACAAATATAGAATCATATGAATCTAAGATTGGAAGATCCATGAAAAAATCCATAGAAACAAAAAACCATGGTTTTTCCAGAACAGATAATAGTTGAAGAAGTTCATAAGATCAATGTGAAGGAATTTTGGATCTTGAACAAATATCTCATGATTATACAAAGTCTTTAACTGCCTTCTACATTAGAGGCCACCAAAAATATCTAGATATTAGCTTTGAATTCTTATTGTATTCAAAATGTCCAACTATTAGGAAGTCATGAGAAGCTTGAAAAATACGCAATTAAGCTTTAACTTTTATTATGTATAATTGTCTTTTGAAGTAGAGTAGATTATTTTTAAATTCTAACTTAGAGGTATCATCAGACTTAGAAGAATTATTCTTGATATCATGAACAAGAGAATTAGAAGATATACTTAAATAAATTTGTTTGATGAAGGTTGAATCAACAATCAATGTTGAAGTTATTGCTTGAAGATGAAAATGCTTTGGCTTCAAGAAAATTATTCTTTCTTGATCATAAGCTATATCTCTTTCTTTTTGTGCAAGATAAGAATGTCTAGAAAGTGCATATGATAAACCTTGTTGTTTTTCAAATCTATAGGTGATCTTTAAATCAAATCTTGATAAAGACATACTCTAACGATCTTGGTGATGATTCAAAATATATGCCAATATGAAGTACTTGAAGTTCTTATGATCCATGTATATAGTAACTAGACTAAAAGCACTTTTCAGATAATGATTCTATTTTCAAAATTAAACAAAAATTGTAAGAAGCTCTTTGTTGTGAATCTTGTAGTTTATCTTAGCTAATAAAAATTTCTTGGAATAAAAAGCTAGAAAATTTAGCTTATCATTTGCTCTCATTTGTGATAAGAAAACAATCATAGCAAAGTCTGATGTATTTGTTTTCATAAAAGATGTCTTAGAAAAATTGACACAATACAAAATTGGTACAAAAGTAAATATTGTTTTTAAGGCTTCAAAAGATATTACAACTTCTTTGCTCTACTCAAGTCTGTCTTTACATGCTAGCCATGTAAAAAGTATTGCAATTTGAGAAAAGTTCTTGATGAAGATTCAATAATAATTGATAAATTTCAAAAAAAACATTACACATCTTTAAATATTTTTGAGACCTTATAATCTATGATAGTCGGGAATTCCTTAGGATGTATCATTAATCCTTCATTGAAAATGATGTAGCCTAAAAAATCAACTTGAATAGTGTGGAATATATACTTTTTTATCTTTGCATATAATTTTGCATCTCTAAGTTTTTGTAATACATAACAAACATGAAATTCATGTTAGTTTGTGTTTTTAGAATACATTAGAATGTTGTTTAAAAAATAGATAACAAAATCATAAAAAAAAAAAAAAAAAAAAAAAAAAAAAAAAAAAAAAAAAAATCTCAAAGACATCATTCATGAAATATTGAAAAGCAGCTAATATATTCATAAGTCCAAAAAGCATGATATTATATTCAAAATGTCCATACCTAATTCAAAAGCAGTCTTCTTTTCATTTTAAAATGAGACAATATTCTCTTAAAGATCTAAAACTCTTTATGTTTATAGCAACGTAAATTTTATCATAAATTGCAAAAAAATAACTACAACAAAATGGAACAAAACTAAACAAAATAAAAAATATAAACCAAATTTTTTTGAGAAAAAGAGGTCAAAGCCATACTTGATTGAATTCTCCAAATGGTTTTAATGTCATGTTATAACACAACTATATAGTGACAAATAAAAATATAGATGTTGTTAGAAAAGAACCTAGTAGGAAGATGTGATACAAAAAC